ACCAGTGCAGTGGTAGCAGATTCAGCTGTAGCAACCCTGAGCCAAAGCAGAAACACAAAGCAGAAATAGTAGCAAGTGTAGGGGCGGCAGGTCGCCTGAGGAGCAGGCTCTGTGGCTGCAACGTGCAGCAGGACAGCAGCGGCTCGACCGCAGCACCTGTAGGCCCCAGCAGCAGAAAACAAAAATCAGGGCAGGTGGCGATAGGGGCGACAGCTGGAGGTGCTACAGTAGCAGCGGGCGGCAGCAGCAGATGCCTGGGTGCAGGAGGAGGAGCCGAGAGAACGCAGAAAACAGAGAACAGAAGGGAGAGAGGAGGAATGAGGAGGCGGCTGCGGCTGGTGCTGAAGCCACGCTCCCACCACCCCCTCACCCTCCCCCCCCACAGCGACTGGCGCTGCAGGGAGAGAGCAGAGGAGATGGGCAGCGGCTAGCGCTGCAGAGTCCCTCCCGCCTCGCCTTCACCCTCCCCCCCACAGCAGGACGCACGGCCCAGCGGCAAAGAGCAGGAGCGGTGCGGGCACTGCTGCAGATCCCGCCCGCCATCCACCCCCGCCATCTCCCCCAGCAGTAGTTTCCGCGGCAGGGCGTGCGACGAGCGCGCAGATGCGGCGGAGAATAGGGAGGGACGGTCGAGCGGGGGCAGGGCGCTGGCGGTTACTGCAGCCTGGCCGCCACACCCTTCCCCCCTTCTTCCCCCTCACAGCGACCGACGCTGCTGACGTGCAGGGCCGCGACGGGGGGAAAAAACTTAGGGGGGCCGGACGAGGGTGCGACGAATCCGCAGCGGTTGCAACCGAGGCCGCAAACGCTCTCGCGCAACTTACCGCCGAGATGGTTTCGACGGTCGCGACCTTGCAACCGTCATAACAACGGTCGCGTCAGGGGGCGTGACGAGCGCCGTGAGCGGGGGGATACGTGGTGGGCCCATGGGGGAAAAAAAAGAAATTAGGTCTTAGGACGACCTAGCTCTTAATACCATGTCAAAATCAGCTTAGAACCTAGGAAACTAGGTGAGGGTGTCGAGAGTAATGAGAGGGAAGAGAGGTTTCAATAAAGAGCAAAGGTACAAAGATATAGGCAAGAACTAGGGTAATGAGGTGCACCACCAAACGGGAAACATAACTACACTAACACTACAAACAATTATATAAATATGAATAACATATTTCGACACCTTCGTATTGCAGCGTTCTCCTCCACCACTCCAGCGCAGGTCCTCGCAACAGTGAAACTGCGAAATTAATGCGGGTGGCATCGTCATAAATCATAGCAGCATTGAAAAACACCTCCACGCTGAACAACCATGCAGAAAAAGTGACGAACTTGTCACTTTGGTTAAGCGGGGGTGGGTTTGTCGACTTGACTTTAACTGTTGTCAAAGTCGTCGCTGCTGCTTGGACTGTTGGCATTGCTGCTGGCGTCGCCGTCGTTGTCGCTGCTGCACGTGTCGGTACTGCACGCAACTGTTGCGGTGACTGCTGCTGCTGCGCCTGCCTCGTTTCGTCCGCATCTATCTCGCCTTCCAGCTCGCTCCAGGCCCGCTCATCTGGTGCAGTGCTGCTACTTGCGTCGTCGACGACAGGCGACTCTTGGCGCGGTTCACCACGCGCCTGGTGTAGTTCGGCGTTTTCCTTCTGGAGACGCTCCATTTCTGCAGACATAGTCTGCATGCTAGCCTGCATCATCCGAAACTGTTGTATGCACTCGTTGAACTCCGCCTGATCCATGTGTCGCAGGCTTCGTCTAACGGGCAGGGGGTGGCTAGCGATTTTTCTGACTTCGGTGAAGGCGTAAACGCTATCGTAGTCGGAGTGGAATAATCGTATCTATTCCACGGGCTGACCGCTTTACAGCCCACCAAGTCTATCGCTCCCCTTCTACAAACTACCCCGAAAACGCGAGGGTAACCTAGGAAAGTATGCTCTGATACCAAGTGTTATGAGTTGTGAAAGGAAAGAGTGCGCAGAATTTGTCAGTAGAGCTACACTGTGAGATCCTCGATTGATCCTAGGGGGGGGTTACAGGCGCGTTTGCCTGGGGGGTTATGGGCGCGCTGACCCGCTACTGAAACAAGCCCTTTAATCCCAATGGTCTAGTGGTTGGGATTCTGACATGGTATCAGAGCGGTCTCGGGTTCGAATCCCGGTGTATGCACATGTTGGCCGTTGCCACTGTGCTCTGTCCTGGGCCTCCCAGTGTGGGGGGGTGTCAGTAGAGCTACACTGTGAGATCCTCGATTGATCCTAGGGGGGGGTTACCGGCGCGTTTGTCTGGGGGGTTATGGGCGCACTGGCCCGCTACTGAAACAAGCCCTTTAATCCCAATGGTCTAGTGGTTGGGATTCTGACAGAATTCAATAACGCGGAAGTGATTACAACGTCTGATGGAACAACGAGGCCTAGGACTAATATAACAATGTTAGCTAGGCCGAGGTCGCGGGGTCGCGAGATGGTTAGGTGCAGGTTCGGGGTTGGAAAACCCGAAGGCAACGCGGTGGTGGCTCGGAAGGCGAGATCGGCGGGCCGGGCCTGGGTTTCCGAAAACCGGGGTTGTACGCGTACAGTGTGACCCAGTAAGGAATCGGAAAAAATCCTTACACTGGTTGATGAGCTGCTGAATTTATACCGCGAACAAAGGTGACTGATGACTGTATATAATGCATTATACTTCACACTAATCTACATTTGCTAATGCATAATTTCAAGGCCAAGAGATGGATTGATGCTGCTTTAAGCTGTATGCAGGTGAATAGTTATCTTTCATGGACGACATGTTCAAACGAGATTTATTGTGTGGGGTATTCTGGGATGGTGGGGCTTCGCTGCGCTTGGCCATCCTGAAGTTGAAATCTCTTTCATCCCCTAATCGCAGGTTTGATACAGTTCAAACAATCAGTTCTGCCACGCAGAGGTCATCCCCAGCACCTGAGGTGACACAGTACACGCGCCAATCCCTGTCCTTTCGCGCAAATCACCTGATGAATATCATTACAGTACATGGAAGCTCTGAAGCAGTGTTTGTTGATCTTTGTTACTCTGAAACCCTTTTTGTTCGCCTGGGCAGCAGTTGCGACACAGAAATTCGATGATGCAGAAACACACTTCGACATAATGAGCTCCGAGGCCTGCTCAAATGTTCCTCAAGTAGACTTCTAGAATTAGGTTTCTGAACGATTTGCATGTTACCCTCCCCGGGTCTATTCGGAACAAAAAACTACGGCCTGCCCTTGTTCCGTCCACCATCGGATCCTGCCTGGCCAACAACCTGAACTCTTTTTCCTACAGTACTACCTCGACCGCACAGTCGCACGCACCTTGTCATCAGGGGGTGAAGGGGAGGTCTCTCTCGGGCCAACCTAATTTGCTCCGTCATTTCTCGTGACGCGCTGAAGCCCTGGCGGCGGCACCTGCAAGGCACGGGGTGAACCGTGAAATCTCATGGACGGAACGGAACGAAACAGAAACGGAGCGCCCGAAAAGAGCCGCGGGCCACTAATGTTTCGGTAATCCCGCACCCGCACTGTTCTGTGCTGTGCTGTATGCTCCGCTCCGCTCTCTCCCTTCTCCTCTCCTCCCTCTCTCCTCCTCCCCTCCTTTCACCTCTCGATCAGCCATTTCCTTCCTCTCCTAGCTGCTCATCATCTCCCACACACGGTCCGTACAGTTTGTAACGATTTGCCACGCAGTTGTATTGTAGCAGTTACGTCCTTAATCCCCCTAGAAAGTAGGACCCCGGCCTTCACGGGATTAACTGAATACCTAGTCATTAGTAGAAGATTTTATTTCCAGCTTGCGCGTATTTCTCGTAGAGGTTACATGATACGGGAGAACGAGGGTGCATACCAGGCTTCAACCCAACGAGAGATACATTAGGTGTCGAGATTTATTATATTTACTTTCTATATCCATCGCATGATTTGAATCCAACGTGTTGCGATTCGACTCGCAAGACTACATCAGCTATTCGTGTTGCGTAGAAAGCTACCGCAACACCATTCTGCCAGGCGCTGCCTCACTGAAAGTACGATGGCTTCACACGGCGTAACCGCGAGTCGGGCCCTCTGTTTATTAGTGTCGCTTATTGTGTATATCAGCGGCGCCGCGAGCCAAATGCTGACAGACGACCAAGGTATATCGCCGAACGGACTCTCCCCTTCTCGCATTGAACAGGCTTCCACACCTTTTCACCTTCCCCGGACAGGCTTGCTACCGCAGCGCTGTGACTTTTGATAGTAGAAGCAGCCGTCTTCCTATCTGCTTTGTTCCTGTCGCAAAACTCGCGTACGTTAGCCTGCTGAGTAAATGGGCGGTAGCACAACAAGCTCGAGCTCGGCCAGTGCTGCACTCTAGCTTCCGTAGCGCGTTTCCCATCCCTGACGCGACAGCAGGGACGGCTCATCAGCGGAACTGTAGCATACCATCGCGCTCTGTTTATGCCGCGACAGCGGCTGCTGCTACTCCCTGCTCCCTGCTCCCTGCTCCCTGCTCCCTTCCCTTGCATACTCGCAGTTCTACTGTTATCCTTCAAGGCGGCAACGGGTCTCACGGACAAGGGATGGAACATACCAGCTCCACGCAACTGCGGCATGTGATTGCGCTCCCGTTAATGCTGCTACTGCCGCTGTTCCCTCCCTGCTCCCTGCTCCCTACCCCCTGTTCCCTTCCGTTGCATACTCCCAGTGAAGTTACTGTTATCGTTCAAGGCAGCATCAGGATTGACGGACAAGGGATGGAACATCTCAGCGCCGCGCAACTGCAGCATGTGGAGCCGAATCAAGTGCAACGCGACGACCGGCGAAATCACGACACTGTGAGCAGCGATAGTCCCGACTTCGCCGAAATTGCCACTCCCGCGTGGCTTCCTTCCGTCGTTATTTGTTTCGCCCTTGCAACGAAACTCGGCAACGATTGTCTTTAGTTCTGACTGACTGACTGACTGCCCCATTATTGCTCTGCTTGCGATTGCCACCTGTTTGGCACGCTGCTCGTTTCGCTTTGCAGATACATTGACGATGGTTCCATAGGAGCCCTACCCGACATTGTCACACAATTCACTGCTCTCACGTACCTGTAAGTTGGCCTGTCCTCCTTATCGTCATAATTCAATGCTTTGCATAACAATGTCGCCCCTGTCCATCCCCATTTTGCTACATCATATTACTTCAGGCCTCTTCCCCCATACTGCTCTCCCCATTCCTGCTGCCATTTGCACTCGCAACCATTTAATTTACTCGCCTCATCTCGCCTCCTCTCCCTGCTCGCCCCTTCTCTGACCTTGAATCTCGATACCCACCAACCTTTCTTCTCAATGCCCACCAGGAGTGTCACTCGATCCAAGGTGCCGTCCACCATTGATGAGAAGATCTCAGCCATCAAGACAATGACCCAGCTGCGATACCTGTGCGTCCACCCTACGCATTCCACCACACTCCACCGCACTGCACTGCACTGCACGGCATTCCACCGAACCGCACTGCACCTCACATACTGCACATGAATCTCCAACCGTTCCTCTCCAGCTCTCGTCCGCGTCTCTGAAAGCATCCACGATTGCTTTCCTCCATGCATCTGTTTCCCTTCCTCTCATCGGTTCCAACTGGTTCTACTCCTCCATCTCCAATAGCTGAGGCATCTCAAGAATCCCCCCTCCCTGCTCGCCTCTGTTTTCCCTCTTGTCTCCTGTCTACCATGCATCTGTTTCCCTTGCTCTCATCTCTCTTGCAGGAGCCTCGGGTCCAACTGGTTCTACTCTTCCATCCCCGAGTGGCTCGTGCAACTGCCTCAGCTCCGCTACCTGTACGTTCACAGAGACTCATGCCAGCGTCATGGAGTAACCTGGTAACTGCTTTTTGTTTTTTCCAAGGTGTACTCCTCTATCCCCGAGTGGCTCGTGCAACTGCCTCAGCTCCGCTACCTGTACGTTCACAGAGACTCATGCCAGCGTCATGGGGTAACCTGGTAACTGCTTTTTTTTCCAAGATATACTCCTTTATCCCTGAGTGGCTCGTGCAGCTGCCTCAACTCCGCTACCTGTACATTCACAGAGAGTCATGCCAGTGTCATAGGGTAACCCAGTAACCGCAGCCACGCAACCCTCAGCTCCTTCGACGTCACCAGCCCTGGCTCTCCTTCTTACCCTTCCTTCCCCTCCCCACCTCCTTCCTCCCCCTTCACACCACTTCTGCATCCGCCCTCAGCCCCCAACCACCTGCCTTACAACTTCCTCACAGGACCCATTCCCCCATCAACCCCCACCCCCCCCTCCCTCCTCCCCCTCCCCCCCGCTCCTTTGACGTCACCAGCAACCTCCTTACCCTTGCTCTCTGCTCTTACCCTCCTTCCCCCTTTCCCCTTCTCCTCACAGGACCCATCCCCCCCATCACAGCGCCTCTCAGCTCCTTTGACGTCACCAGCAACCTCCTCACCCTCGCTCTCTCTTCTCACCCTCGCTCTCTCTTCTCACCCTCGCTCTCTCTTCTCACCCTCACTCTCTCTTCTCACCCTCGCTCTCTCTTCTCACCCTCGCTCTCTCTTCTCACCCTCGCTCTCTCTTCTCACCCTCGCTCTCTCTTCTCACCCTCGCTCTCTCTTCTCACCCTCGCTCTCTCTTCTCACCCTCTCTCTCTCTTCTCACCCTCGCTCTCTCTTCTCACCCTCGCTCTCTCTTCTCACCCTCGCTCTCTCTTCTCACCCTCGCTCTCTCTTCTCACCCTCGCTCTCTCTTCTCACCCTCGCTCTCTCTTCTCACCCTCGCTCTCTCGTCTCACCCTCGCTCTCTCTTCTCACCCTCGCTCTCTCTTCTCACCCTCGCTCTCTCTTCTCACCCTCGTTTCCCATCCCTCCCTTCCCGCCTTCCTCCTCCCTCCCCCTGTCCGTCCCCTCTTCCCCTACCAGACACCTGCCCTACAACTTCCTGACAGGCCCCATCCCTCCCATCACAGCCTCTCTCAGCTCCTTCCGACGTCACCAGCAACCTCCTCTCCCTTGCTCTCCCTTCTTTATCTCTTCTCTTCTCCCCTCTCTCCCCATCGCACCCTCCCCCAATCCCCCAGCCACCTGCCATACAATTTCCTCACAGGACCCATCCCCCCCATCACAGCGCCTCTCAGCTCATTCGACGTCACCAGCAACCTCCTCTCGGGAACCTTCCCCCTCCGCAAAACGCCCATCAAGGCCTGCCTCGCCGCGGGAAACTGCCTGGGAGATGCGTCGGCGTGCGCAGTGGGGGCGGGGCAGCAGCGGGCGGACGTGGGCGACGGGTACTGTGCGGCGGTGGTGGGGGACTTGTGCCGCCCGGTTCCTGAAGCTGGGGAGACGTGGCAGGACCAGGTTGCTCTGCGCTGCTCATCCCGTGAGTTTGGGGTTCCTGAGTGGTTGGGTTGAGCTACTGGGGTAAGGGTGGTGGGGGACTTGTGCCGCCCGGCGCCTGAGGCGGGGGAGACGTGGCAGGACCAGCTGGCTCTGCGCTGCTCCTCCCGTGAGTTGAAATGGTGGGTGGGTTATTGGCTGGTGTATTGCCCAGGTACGGAGAGGGGCGCGGATGTGGGGGATGGGTACTGTGTGGCGGAAGTGGGGGAGACGTGGCAAGACCAGGTGGCTCTGCGCTGCTCCTACCGTGAGTTGGGGCTTATGGGTGGGCTGGTGGGTGCCTGGTGGGTGGGCTGGTGGGTGCCTGGTGGGTGGGCTGGTGGGTGCCTGGTGGGTGCCTGGTGGGTGCTTGGGCTACTGGTTGGGGGTATGAAGGGCAGCAGCAGGCTGGCTGGTGGGTGGGTAACGGCAGGTTTGACCCGTGCTGGATGCACCCCTCAGGGATGAACCCAATGCATACTGGATGCACCCCTCAGGGATGAACCCAATGCATACTGGATGCACCCCTCAGGGATGAATCCAATGCATACTGGATGCACCCCTCAGGGATGAATCCAATGCATGCTGGATGCACCCCTCAGGGATGAACCCAATGCAATCCAAAATGCCCGAATGCATTTTGAAATTCACTCAAAACCCATCTCTGCTGCTCTGTGCCTTGCCGTGTCTCACTGTGCGCTTCTCTCTGCCCCTTTCCCCCCTTCCCCTACCAGCGAGCATCATGTATGCCACCGATTCAATGGAACCTCTCGTGGATGAACCCGAACCCCCCATGGATGCTCCGAAAGAGGTGGAGCAGAGCAAGGCTCCTGAGGAAGAGGTGGAGTATAAACAAACCTATTCTCACAGTGTCTCACCTTGTTCTTCTCCCTCTCTCTGCCCCTTACCACCCCTTCCCACCCCTCCCCCTGCCAGCGAGCGTCATGTCCTCCACCGATTCAATGGAGCCTTTCGTGAATGAACCCGAACCACCCATGGATGCTCCGGAAGAGGTGGAGCAGACCAAAGGCCCAGAGGACGCCCCCGTTACAGGCACATCCGTTACAGACACATCTGACGGTACATCGGACGATTCATTTGACGGTTCTTCTACAGGCAGCGGCTCTGGAACACCAGTGGATACGAAATTTGTGCAGCCGGTGAAGGGGAAAGGGGTCAAGGGAAAGAATAAAGGCGGTGCAGCAAAGGCGTGCTCGTGCAAGAAGAGTGCGTGCAAGGCGAGCGAGATCTGCATGAATATGTCGGTTGGCAAACGGTGCAACGTCAAGTGTATGAAGAAGCTGTTTAAAGTTTAGTCGGTTGTATGGTTGGCTAGCACTGGGGTTTGGTATTTTTCCTTTTTGTTATTATTTATGAGAATGGGAAGACGCAGTTCGAGCTGCATATGAGATCTGCTGTGGCTGAGCTACACTGTATTATAATTTTATTTGTTGTGATTTTGTTTTTTTTTTGAAACCTGAAAATTGAAAGGCTAGATTCTATAAACTGAACACTGGCAACTGGCCAGGAAAGGAAAGGGTAGAGGAATGATGAATGATAAATTAAACAAGTGTTGCTGTGTACACCTCTTATCGCGTACGCAAAACCAGAACCCACCACTGCACTCCCCGCCCCATACCGTAGTGGGTCTCATCTCATCCTAGCCAAGTCTCGTTCCTCCTTGACATCGTTTTCCCGCCAAACGGGTTGTCAGAATGAACCTTTTGAACCGAGCCGCTTCGTTCTCACACCCACAGGCCATCACTTGCTTCCCATGCGAGTCAAGCGCGGCCGTCGCGCGGAGTTCGTCCCTTCATTCCCGCTCGAGCTCGCTAATCCGTTCCTTGCAATGCGGTTCGCTGGTTCCTACTAGGCACAGTTCCTCCCTGAGTGTAGTTTCCCGCCATTCGCGGCGCGATTCGCGGTTCATGGCGGCGAGAAATAGCATCGACAGCAGCGGGGGCAGCGAAGCAGGCGAGGGTCAAGCGGAGGAGCGATCAGGATCGGACGGTTCACAGAGCCTCGCGACGCGGATCCTTCATTATAAGGGCGCGGACTTCGATCCGTACGGTGCCGTCAGCACTCCCATCTACCAAACGGCTACATTCCGTCAGGTTAAACTGTGGCTCCGGGAGTAAAAGGGGAAAACCGGGGTGGGGAAGAGGAGAGAATGATGGAGTGGGGGATCGCATATGCGCATTGGCAACTGGAACATGGGAGTTGAGCATTTGAACTTCTGAAGATTTAAATAGACTGAGCTGAGCCATGGGAGTTGAGCATTTGAAGATTTGAGCATTTGAAGATTTGAGCATTAAAATAAGTGCGGCCATGAGAATAGTTGATCAATTGAAGATCATCTGACTAACTTGGCGATTGCATTGTAGAAAACGACACGTCCTATTGGATTCATGCTGCTAGCACTTCATCCATTTTCATCCGAATTCATGCTGCATTTATTCACCCTGCTTTTATCCGAGCCTTCCCTGTCCCTGTTTGTAATGCGACAGGTCTCTGCGACAGAGAACAATGCCTACGACTACACTCGCAGTGGTAACCCTACGCGGGATGCACTCGAGAAGTGAGTGTGGAGTGAGTGTGGCGAGAAGCGAGTATGGAGTGAGTGAAGAGAGAGTGAAGATTGTCAAATGAGTGTTGAGTGTGGCGTGAGTTTGAAGTGATAAGAGAGTTGTGTGGGAGAGGGAGGATACCTGTCATATTTGTTTCCAACATACTTCTTCTCTCCCTGGCTTCCCGACAATACCTTTCCACTTGTCCCTCTCTCCCCACGCTTCTCCCCTCCTGCAGGCTGCCAGCAGAGGTTAAAATGGGTGCATCGTGCCTTTGCCTTTCCTGTAAATGCGTGCTGCTCTGTCTTCTCTTCCTTCCCAACCCCTCTCCACCGTTCTTTCACCCCGTTTCTCCCCTCATGCAGGCTGTTAGCAGAGGTGAAGGGGGCACATCGTGCCTTTGCCTGCTTCGTCTCCTCTTTCTTCTCAACCCCTCTCCACCGTTCTTTCTCCCTGCTTCTCCCATCCTACAGGCTGCTAGCAGAGGTGGAGGGGGCGCATCGTGCCTTTGTCTTCAGCACCGGAATGGCGGCACTTGCTACCAGAGGTGGAGGCGCATCTTGCCAGTGCCGCACTTCCCAGCAGCACCTCTCTTCTTTTCCAATTTGTCTCTCTCTGTGTTTTTCTCTCCTGCGACAGGTTGCTAGCGGAGGTGGAGGGGGCGCATCGTGCTTTTGTCTTCAGCACCGGGATGGCGGCACTTGCTGCATCCACCAGGCTGGTTACCACCGGTGAGATCTCGTTACGACTGGTGCAATCCGTTACCACCAGTTGAATCTCCTTATTGCTGGCTATATTTCGTTTCCACTGGTGTGTGATGTGATTTCGCTACCTCAAAATCCAAGTTTTCGTTACTTCTCACGAGGTTTTCCTCCCGTTGCCTCCCTCCCTCCCTCCCTCCGCTGTCCTGCACCGGGCTCTGACATTTTCAGATGGGACTTTCAGGTTCTTCCATTGTAGCGAGTGACGGCATTTACGGAGGCACAGACCGGCTGCTGTCAAGAGAGGGCTGATACCAGCCCTTCGCCTCCCTGCCTGCCCCTCGTGTCCCCCCTCCCTCCACACGGCAACCCCCTTCCCTTCAGGTTCCTCCATTGTGGCGGGTGACGACATCTACGGAGGCACCGACTGGCCGCTCTCAAGAGTGGGATGGGACAATGTCAATGATGTTGCTGGTTCATCCCCCCACCCCCCACCCTCCAACCCCCACCCTCCACCCCCCACCCCTTTCAGGTTCCTCCATTGTAGCGGGTGACGACATTTACGGAGGCACGGACCGGCTGCTCTCAAGAGTGGTGCCTCGTGCAGGTGTTGCTGTCAGGTGGGTCCTCTGTTGCCCTCAGGTGGGTCTTCTGTTGCTGTCAGGTGGGTGTATTGTTGTTTTCAGGTGGGCCCTCTGTTGCTTCCAGGTGATCTCTTCGCTGCTCTCTGGTTCAGCTTCCACTCTTCGGCCCTACTTCATGCTCCCTCGCACCAGGGGGGTAGACACAACGGACCTACAAGCAGGGAGGGTGGCACTGCAGCATGGAAAGCCCCAGCAACCAACCAACCAACCATCCCTCGTTTTCCCCTCTCCCTCTCCCTTTGCTGGTCGTTTATGGAGAGCCCCACCAACTCCCGTTCGTGCCTCATTTTCCTCACCATCCCTCCCTCTCCCTGCTCTTCCCCCACTTGGCGTGTGGACACAACGGACCTAGACGCAGTGAGGGCGGCAGTGGGAGAAGACACCAGGCTGGTTGTTATATAGAGCCCCACCAACCCCTGTCCATCCTCTCATACACACCATCCCTCTTGTCCCTCTCGCCTTCTGCTCCCTCCCCACCAGGCGCGTGGACACAACGGACCTAGACGCAGTGAGGGCGGCAGTGGGAGAAGACACCAGGCTGGTTGTTATATAGAGCCCCACCAACCCCTGTCCATCCTCTCATACACACCATCCCTCTTGTCCCTCTCGCCTTCTGCTCCCTCCCCACCAGGCGCGTGGACACAACGGACCTAGACGCAGTGAGGGCGGCAGTGGGAGAAGACACCAAGCTGGTCGTCATGGAAAGCCCCACCAACCCGCGCATGATGATCAGCGATATCAGGGTGAGTCAGAGCACCGCACTGTGCTGTACTGCACTGCACCCCACTGGACTGCACTGCACTGCACTGCGCTACACCCCACTGCACTGCACTGCTCTGCGATGTACCACACTGTGCTCCTGGACCACCGGTCTCCGTCTCTCTGCTGGTCCTAATGGAAAGCCCTACCAACCCTCTCATGATGAAAGCAATGCCTCTTCTCCCTCCCTCCTTCTCTATCTCCAATCTCTCCCTCTCTTCAGGCCATAGCAGAGATCGCTCACTCAGTGGGTGCGCTGCTACTAGTCGACAACAGCATCATGTCTCCGGTGCTCTCGAAGCCGCTGCAGCTGGGTGCAGACATTGTGATGCACAGCGGTACCAAGTTCATCAGCGGGCATAGCGATGTGATGGCTGGGATTCTGGCTGTGAACGACCCAGAGTGAGTGATTGAGTGTCTGAAGGACGTATAGTTGTGCACACAGACGCACGCACCCCAGTCACTGTCGCAGCCGCTGCAGCTGGGAGCAGACATTGTGATGCACAGCGGCACCAAGTGCATCAGCGGGCATAGCGACGTGATGGCTGGGATACTGGCTGTCAACGACCCAGAGGGAGTTTGCGATACGCACTCACACGCTCACAAACTACTACCCACTCGCACCAACTTACACACACACACACACACACACACACACACACACACACACACACACACACACACATACACACACACACACACACACACACACACACACACACACACAAACTACTACCCACTCTCACACCAACGCATGCACACCCACGAAACGAACACCGTCTGCTCTCGCTGCAGCCGGGAGCACACAGCCTGGCTACCGAAACACACTTGGTGCAGACAGCCTGGCTAACGAAATATACTTGGTGCAGACAGCCTGGCTAACGAAATATACTTGGTGCAGACAGCCTGGCTAACGAAATATACTTGGTGCAGACAGCCTGGCTAACGAAATATACTTGGTGCAGACAGCCTGGCTAACGAAATATACTTGGTGCAGACAGCCTGGCTAACGAAATATACTTGGTGCAGACAGCCTGGCTAACGAAATATACTTGGTGCAGACAGCCTGGCTAACGAAATATACTTGGTGCAGACAGCCTGGCTAACGAAATATACTTGGTGCAGACAGCCTGGCTAACGAAATACACTTGGTGCAGACAGCCTGGCTAACGAAATATACTTGGTGCAGACAGCCTGGCTAACGAAATATACTTGGTGCAGACAGCCTGGCTAACGAAATACACTTGGTGCAGACAGCCTGGCTAACGAAATATACTTGGTGCAGACAGCCTGGCTAACGAAATATACTTGGTGCAGACAGCCTGGCTAACGAAATACACTTGGTGCAGACAGCCTGGCTAACGAAATATACTTGGTGCAGACAGCCTGGCTAACGAAATATACTTGGTGCAGACAGCCTGGCTAACGAAATATACTTGGTGCAGACAGCCTGGCTAACGAAATATACTTGGTGCAGACAGCCTGGCTAACGAAATATACTTGGTGCAGACAGCCTGGCTAACGAAATATACTTGGTGCAGACAGCCTGGCTAACGAAATATACTTGGTGCAGACAGCCTGGCTAACGAAATACACTTGGTGCAGACAGCCTGGCTAACGAAATATACTTGGTGCAGACAGCCTGGCTAACGAAATATACTTGGTGCAGACAGCCTGGCTAACGAAATATACTTGGTGCAGACAGCCTGGCTAACGAAATATACTTGGTGCAGACAGCCTGGCTAACGAAATATACTTGGTGCAGACAGCCTGGCTAACGAAATATACTTGGTGCAGACAGCCTGGCTAACGAAATAAACTTGGTGCAGACAGCCTGGCTAACGAAATATACTTGGTGCAGACAGCCTGGCTAACGAAATACACTTGGTGCAGAACGCAGAGGGGAGGGTGCATTTTGAGGCGCCTCAAAATACACCTCAATGCAAGCAGACAGCCTGGCTAACGAAATCTACTTGGTGAGGGCTGCCTTCTATATACTTGGTGCAGAACTATTATTCAGGCGCCTCAAAAATCGTCTGCAGCTGGGAGCAGACAGCCTGGCTAACGAAATATACTTGGTGCAGAACGCAGAGGGGTCAGGGCTGAGATGAGCCCCTTGAAGATCTCTCCTATCCCGATCGCCAACTCCCCTTCCCCTTTTCTTTCCCCCTTTCCTTCCTCCTTTCCCCCCATCCCCCCCCCAGCCTTGCGAAAGAGATCTACTTTGTGCAGACCGCGGAGGGCTCAGGGCTGAGCCCTTTTGGATTTTCCTCCTATCCCTTATCACCAACTCCTCTTTTCCTTCCCTTCCCTCCTCCTTTCCCTTCCTTTCCTTTCCCTTCCTTTCCTTTCCTTTCCCTTCCTTTCCTTTCCTTTCCCTTCCTTTCCTTTCTCCCCCCAGCCTAGCGAAAGAGATATACTTTGTGCAGAACGCAGAGGGATCAGGGCTGAGCCCCTTCGACTGCTGGGTGTGCCTTCGCGGGATCAAGACCCTGCCACTACGCCTGGAGCGGCAGCAGGTGTGTGTGAATGTGTGTGCGTGTGGGATGGGAGTGTGTTGGTTAGTGTGTGTGTGTGTGTGTGTGTGTGTGTGTGTGTGTGTGTGTAGTTGAGAGAGGAAGGGTTCAGGGCTGAGCTGAGCCCCTTTGATTGCTGGGTGTGCCTTTGCGGGATCAAGACCCTGCCTCTGCGGTTGGACAGGCAGCAGGTGGGAACGTGGACAGGCATGTGTGTGCGTGTGTGTGTGTGGATGTGGGGGGTCGGTGGAAGGGGACATGTGAGTATGTGTGTGTGTGGATGTGGGGGGTAGGTGGAAGGGGACATGTGAGTATGTGTGTGCGTGGATGAAGGGGGGGCTGAGCCCTTTTGACTGCTGGGTGTGCCTTCGGGGAATCAAGACCCTGCCACTGTGTTTGGAGAGGCAGCAGGTACATAGGAATGTACTTGTGCATGTGTATGGGTGTTCTATGTCTCTCCCCTCTTTCAAGCTCAACCTTCCTCTGGTTTTTTTTTTTTTTTTTTTTTTTTTGCACAGGTCAATGCGAAGAGAGCAGCCGGGTTTTTCTAGAGGATGTTCTGTATTTATCCTCTCTTTCAGTATCGATGCTGTGTTGACACAAGCGCGATGGCCTTGCACTGTCTTGTTGTGTGCAGGCCAACGCACAGAGAATAGCCGAATTCCTGGACGGCCATGCACGAGTAGAAAGGGTGTTCTATGCCGGTCTGCCCACCCATACGAACCGTGACCTGCACTTCTCCCAGGTGCTTTCCCGGCCTCTGCCAGTCACACTGATGGTCTCTTTCTCTGTATCTCTCACAATCACACGGTGCATGTTTGTTTCTGGCATCTCCTCTTTTCGCGAGTGAGAGAGTGTTCTATGCCAGTCTGCCCTCCCATACCAACAGCAACCTGCACTTCTCCCAGGTGCTTCCCCAGCCTAGGCCAGTCACACCCATGGTCTCTCTCTGTCTATCTCTCTATCACACACGGTGCATGATTGTTTCTGTCAACTCCCGCACCCGCGAGTAGTGAGGGTGTTCTATGCCGGTCTGCCCTCCCATTACCACCCGTGACCTGCACTTCTCCCAGGTGCTTTTCGGACCTAGGTCACGAGTCAGGTGATTTACTAGCCCAAGTCTGTAGCCAGGTGTTTCCCCAGCCTAGGTCACAGCCCTGGTGTCTTCACACAGTACACTGCGTTGAGTGTTTTCTCGCAAAGCACCTGTGCATAAGGAGGTGTGCTCTCTTCTACACCGGTTGTGAGCCATCGCGGAACTTCAGCGAGCGCACTGTTCTATGCTGGTCTGCCTTCTCTTGCCAACCAACCACGCGCTGCACTTCTCCTGCACTTTCAGGTGCTTCTCTTGGTGCCTCTTTCAGGTGTTCTCCCAGGTGCTTATCTCTGGTGCTTCACTCGCAACTTCCAAGTTTTCACTCACTTGCCTCTCCGACCAGACATTGTACTTCCGTTCTATTTCACCTCTTTTAACTGGTGTTTTCCGTTTGTTCGCTTTCATTCTTTCTGGTCTCTTTTGTTTTCGTTCGCTTTTCTCTCATCTGTATGTTTCGCAGGCCAAGGGTGCGGGGTCAGTGCTCAGTTTCACGACAGGCAACATCAACGCGTCGAAGCACATTGTTGAGACAATGAAGCTTGCTAACATTGCTGTCAGCTTTGGTAAGATGGGATACGAGCACTGTTGGGTGGGTGGGATGAGAGCAGTGTTGGTCGAAGTGAGAGCAGTCTTTGGGAGGAATCCCGTTGAGATGAACCACTCTGTTAGCGTTGGTAAGATGAGATGCGAGCGGGGTTTGGTGGCATCTGTTATTTCTTGAATCTGACAGCATGGTGATTGCATTCTGTCGCGACTACTGTTCACACATCTCCCTACTGTGGCTGCATTGCATGTGTGATTGTACTGCATGGTGGCGTGTGACTGTAACGAGGGGGCTTGCAGGCAGTGTGGCGACGTCCATCAGCCTGCCGTGCTTCATGTCGCATGCCAGCATACCAGCGGATGTGCGCAAGGAGCGAGGCCTGGTTGAAGATCTCATTCGCCTCTCTGTAAGCATGCCCGGTCTCTAATCACTCCCCTCTCTCGCCTTCACACTCCCCCCATCTTTAAGCTTGCAGTCTTCGTTGCCATTCTATGATTGATTGCAACTAAAACGACACTATTTGATTGTTTGCAACCTGTTTTATGACAGGTGGGCATTGAGGACGTGGATGACCTTATTGCCGATTTGGGGAATGCCATTGATACAGCTCCTTTCTCTTGATGAAGACATGAACACGAGAAAACAAGCGCACTTATGTTTCACTCGTTTGCATGATAGAATTTATGTGCACCGCAGAGTTACCATGCATTCTGATTGCGAAAAGCCTGGTTTGCTAGGATGACTTAATCTTCCTATTCAAATCAAATGAAATCATTTTCTTCAAAAAATTTAGATCGACTTGTGAAAAGTTTTTATACACTTGTCCGCTACAGCTGGCAGTGAAATGGGTAATCTTCATGCAAGCCTATCACTCCGCTTCGATGATGTCAGAATGGCGTGTCTGATGTTCCCACGAATCTTCCATTGTCCCAACCCGTTTTGCGGCTGGCACGGCTCGCTGTATTTCGTTCTCGATAACCCGGAAGATTCGGGCAGTTTATACCGCCGTCTGAACTTGCGGTTCTTTACTGTTCGATTGGGCTCTGAAAGTGGGGATCAAAACCAAGACGCTTCTTGTTACATGAATGATTAAACGCTGGTCAGTTGGCTAAGTACAGAACCTGAATACTAAAATATATACCAATTGAGAAACATTTCAGCCTGGAACCATTGAGAGTTCCCCGCCATCCAGCTCCTTGTTTTGCCATGTCTTGTCTCAAACATCAGGAAAAAAGGAGAACAGGATCCTCAGCTTACCTCATTTATATTCCTCTTCAGAACTCCTCACCGCAACTCACCTCACCACACCAGAGCATAGCAGCTTGTGTTTTGACTTCCTGATCACGTCAGTGCAGCACCCCCCAAACAGCAGGCAGACACAGAGCACCCCACAGGAGTAAACAGGGAATCTAATTTGTGGGAATACTAATTTCGCCGGCCTTTTTGGTTTCTATCCACCATAGACCTAGCTCCAGCAAGTTACCTACGAGCCTTCGTCGTCGTTTCGGGCAAGTGGTTTCGCAATGGTTCTTGTGGGTGTTGTCTAAGCCGCGTTTTTTGGTTACGCCCTAGTCTTAGGATCACGGCGTATAACCTTTTTCGTTTCTTATTCTCAAAAGGACCGGTTTATAGCATGCGAACGCGCCTCCACCGTCGATTTCAACTTCATCGCTTCATCGCCGCTCATGGAGGAATTTATAGAAGCGATCTGGCCACACCTCTTCCCGTCCTGGTTCGAAGCATTAACCGCGTTAATGGCAGCCTCGTTTGTAGCCTTTCTCCTATATCTCACCCAACCCGAAGGCAGCGGGGAGAATCCCTCCCCAGACGACGCTTCGGCCGCGTCTGCCGGGAAAACCGGCGTGAATGGCGCGGAGGAAGAGGAGGAGGCGAACTGGGAGGAGGCGAGCCGACGTGTCAGGGAGCAGCAAGCTCGCGCGTTACTCGCGGCGCCGGATCCGCTCACCGCCGCTCTCGCAATCCCCGTGCGCCAGCTGGCAGCCGTGGATTCGAAGAGAATGGCCGCAGTTCCGGTTACCGCCCAGCCGCTGCTAGGACTAAGTTCTAAGGAGGTAGTTAAGAAGGGGATCGGGTCTAGAACGCGGCCCAGGCAGGATATAATGCAGTTAGCTGTGGCGACGGGGGTGGGGGGAACTGGTGGAGGGGGGAAAGGGGGCGTGGATGGGGGGCTGGTAGGAGGAGGGAAGGGAGGGGTGGAGGTAGGAGGGAGGAGAGGAGGAGGGGATGGGAGAAGTGCGAGTGGGCCTTTAGCTGCTTCGACTAGAGCCGCTGCTGGTGCTGTTGCGGCTGCAGCGGGTGGGAACATCCAGGACGAAACGCTTATACCCGTGGTGAGTTTGTCAATAAGGGGTACTACCGTCGTATTATATATTTTATTCCTCGTGCCCTGCTCTCCTCTTTCCCCCGCGGGCTACGTTTCCTTCCTCTCCACCTTTCTGCCGAATCGACCCTTTTTACCTTTTTTCCTACTTCTTTCTTTCTTTCCATTTTTTTTTAGTGTTATTTTCGTGTGGAATTCTGGCGCTCACCATGCTGCATGTCCAGATTTAAATCAAAACCCTTCGCCTCCCATGATCTGTCCTCACTGTTATTTTCTCCCCGATATATATGTATGTGTGATGTTAAGTTTTATATCTGTCTTCCATATTGTCTAAACCCCAGTCAAATTCAAAACGCTTCGCCTCTCAACCCCCCAGCCACCCTCCTCTCCCCGACCCCTCCCGCGGCGGTCCCCCAGGCCATAATCCCCAGCCAGTCCCTGTCTTGCGCGGACACCCTGCCCCCTGCGCCAGTCCCCCTTAGCACAGCAGTCTCCGCTGCTCCCGCTTCCGCCACTGCAGGCGGGGATGGGGAGGGGGAAAGGGGTGCCCTGGGGGGGCATACGCGCACAGGAGGGTCCCTGGGATACCTGTCCCCACTGAATAAAGGTGCTGCTGTTACTACTAATTCTGGTGCCGCTGGTGATTTAATCAACGGCCCAGATTTGGCCAGTGGTGGAACTCCTGACAGGGGAGCAGAGAAGGGGAGGCGGCCGGAGAGGATCCAACGGTCAGTGTCGGACACGGCAGCGATCTCAGCCGGATCAACGGCTGGTGGCGCTGCGTTTTCTGCTGCAAGAACAGGGGGAGGAGCAGGGGGAGGCACAAGGGGGGAAGGGGGGGGAGGGGGGATTGGCGGAGTAGGTGTGAAGGTGGAAGTAGCTGCAGAAAGGGCTGTGTCTCCTGTGGCGCCTCAACCCATGATCTATGAAGTGAAGGTGAGTTCTGAAGGGGAATTGAGTTTCGAAGTGAAAGTGAGTAGTGATGTGAAAGTGAGTTTTCAAGTTTGTTTTCGAATGAAATGAAAGTGATTTTCTCAACCCCCCATTCCCTCCTCTCCCCACCCCAAGGTCGATCTGCCAGCTGTCAAGAACCTGCCGGCTGCAGATATCAGCAGCACTGTGGATCCCGCACCCCTCATCCCCCAATTCTGAACCTCCTCGTCCTCCCCCTCCTGTTCCCTTCCGCCTCCCCCTCCCCCCTCCCCCCTTCCCTCCTCTCCCCAAGGTCGATCTGCTAGCAGCAATGAACCTGCCGGCTGCAAATATCAGCAGCACTGCGGATCCCGCACCCCTCATCCCCCAATTCCGTTCCTCCTCCTCCTTCCCCTCCTGTTCACTTCCGCCTCCTCCTCCCCCCTTCCCCCGCTCTTCCTCCCAAAGGTCGATCTGCCAGCTGCCAACATCAGTGGCACGGCGGATCCTGCATCATGTCCCAATCCCCCTCTCCCCCCCCCCCCCCCCCCCCCCCCCCCCCCTCTTTCCCTCCCCTCCTCTTAAAGGTCGATCTGCTGGCGGCTAAGAACCTGCCAGCTGCCAACATTAGCGGCACAGCAGATCCCTACGCCATCGTTTCTTGTGGAACAGAGCGGAGATTCAGGTGTGTGTGCTGCTTGCATGGGCATGTGGGTGAGATGTGTGCACGCATGTGTGTGTGGGGGGAGAAGGGGGGGGGGGGGGGGCGGGGGGAGGGGGGAGGAGGGAGGGGAGGGATTCGTGCCTGTGCCTCTCTCTCCCCCCCGGTCTACCCCAACTCCTGCTCCGCCCACGTCCCTTCAAAATGATGCCAACGCTTCCTGCCACACCCCACTCTGTCATGTCATCCCCAGTTCCCGCAATCCCATGTGGGCAGAGGAGTTTTAATCTGTGCTGCACAATCCCGGACCGACACCCTCCGCCGTCCACTTCTCACCTCTTCCCAACCCTCTCCCAATGCTGCGCCTGTCCTCTCCGCCCCACTCTAGCTCCGTCATCCCCTCCAGTCCTCCAACAGTGTGTAGTAAGTCGATTTTTAAGTCGACTCAAAAATCCGTCATCCCCCCAAGTCCTCCAACAGCCCCATGTGTGGGCGGATGAGTTTTGCGCCGGTGCTGCACGGTTCCTCACACTCTTCCCCTTTCCCATCCCCTCTCACCCACCCTCTCTGCCCCACACCAGCTCCCGCAATCCCATGTGGGCGGGAGAGTTTTGCTTCTGTGCTGAACAGTCTCACGCACTCTCCGCCATCCCCTTTTCCACCTCTTCCCAACCCTCTCCCAACCCCTTTCTGCCCCACACCAGTTCCCGTCATCCCCAGCTCCCGCAATCCCATGTGGGCGGAGGAGGTTCTCTTCTGTCTGCTGATGCATAGTCCTGACTCCGTAGCACTCCTCTCCACCCTTCTATGCCTCTCCCACGTGTAGAGAGGGTGTTTTTGGGACGTCTCAAAAACACCCTCTCTACACGGAGCACTCCTCTCCGGCCTTCCATGCCTCTCCCAGTGCCTCTTTTATCCTCTCTGCCCCACACCAGTTCTGTCATCCCCAGCTCTCGCAATCCCATGTGGGCGGAGGAGTTTCGCTTCTTTGCCCCCTGCCTGCCCGCGCTGGTGAGTGCTGTGCCCACTCTTGAGGCGCCTCAACAGTAGATCCCATCCCATGTGAACGGAAGAGTTTCGCTTCTTTGCCCCCTGCCTGCCCGCGCTGGTGAGTGCTGTGCCCACTCTTGAGGCGCCTCAACAGTAGATCCCATCCCATGTGAACGGAAGAGTTTCGCTTCTTTGCCCCCTGCCTGCCCGCGCTGGTGAGTGCTGTGCCCACTCTTGAGGCGCCTCAACAGTAGATCCCATCCCATGTGAACGGAAGAGTTTCGCTTCTTTGCCCCCTGCCTGCCCGCTCTGGTGAGTCGCTTTTTGAGTCGACTCTAAACGAGTTTCACTTCTTTGCCCCCTGCCTGCCCGCGCTGATGAGTCCAGTGCCCGCTCGTGCGTTTGTGCCCACTCGTGCATTTAGACGTCCTCAAAACTAGCTTACGTGGTGTTACTTTTGAGATTTCTCACAAGTAACATGACTCAAAGCTAGCTCACGCATACCTACGATTGGGACACAGAACACATACATACTTCCAAGAACACAAAACTTGGAGCAGCCTCCTTGGTTCGTGGCTTTCATGTGCTTATGCTGTGGTGTGTGTGCGTGTGCGTGTGCACGCACATGTTGTGTGCACGCACATGCTGTGTGCACGCACATGTTGTGTGCACGCACATGTTGTGTGCACGCACATGTTGTGTGCACGCACATGCTGTGTGCACGCACATGTTGTGTGCACGCACATGTTGTGTGCACGTTCATGCGTGTGACCGCACGCAGGCTTACTTTTGAGGCGCCTCAAAAGACGTTCATGTGTGTGTGACCGCACGCAGGCATCAGTGCGCACGTACGATTGGGACATCATATCCAAGAACGTAGAGCTCGGTGCGGCGTCCCTTACTCATTGCTTGTTATGTGTTTGTGCTGTGGTGTGCGTGCGTGTGTGTGACCGCATGCAGGTATCAGTGCGCACGTATGATTGGGACATCATATCCAAGAACGTAGAGCTTGGTGCGGCTTCCTTGCTGGTGGAATGGAAGGAGATTCTTTTTGGGCTGACTAGACTGAGTCGTTCTTTGTGTGTTTGTGTGCGTGTGACTGTGTCTGTATGGAATCGTCCACGCAGGTATCAGTGCGCACGTACGATTGGGACATCATATCCAAGAACGCAGAGCTCGGTGCGGCGTCCCTGCTGGTGGAAGGAGAGGCTCTGCCCTTCACCGCCTGGTACCCCCTTGACAAAGGCATGGGGCAGGTGAGAACTGGGGCAAGTGAGGACTGGGGCAGGTGAGGACTGGGGCAGGTGAGGACTGGGGCAGGTGAGGACTGGGGCAGGTGAGTGAGTGATCCTTCTACTTTCTGTGAGCTTTTTTTATAATTCTCAAGGCACACATCACCCCTGATGGTGGAGGGAGAGGCTCTGCCCTTCACTGCTTGGTACCCCTTGACAAGGGCCTGTGGCAGGTGATGGCATAGGCAGGTGAGTGAATTGTTTTTATACTGCGCATTTTTCCAGGCGTTTATCTGGTTTGCCAGGCGAAAAACGCCCAGCTACTCCACACGTTCCCCTCCTTCGCCTCTTTCTCTTCTCTGCCTTATTTCGTTCTTGCAGGTGTGCTTGCAGCTGCAGGTGACAGCAGTGCCAAGGAATAAAGCTGACAGGTACATGCGATTCCGCCCGTTCTGCCTGTCCTGTGCTGTGCTGCCCCGATCAGTTAATCTGCTGCGTTCTTCACTAGTGTGTGTGTGTGTGTGTGTGTGTGTGTGTGTGTGTGTGTGTGTGTGTGTGCGTGTGCGCGTGCGTGTGTGCGCGCGCGCGCGGGTGTGTGTGTGTGTGTGTGTGTGTGTGCGTGTGCTACGCCTATGCACCAGTGAGAATTTCCAAAAGTGACTCTTCCTTCTGATTGCATGAAATGATTCATGCATCTGACTGTGTCTCTTTCCTGCCTGCATTCCTTGCTGCTGCGTTCCTCCTTGTTTGCTTTCCAAGCAGCCCCTCAAGTATCGACCTTGTCTCCCTCCCCCATACCACCCTTTTTCTTATCCCGCTTTCCCCTCTCCCCTCACGCCAAACCAACTGCCTGCAGCACAGCAGCAAAGGGAGCCGCCATAAGTTCGTCCCGCCTGCGCCGCCTCTCCCAACAGCCCACCAGCGCCGGTGCGGGGGACAAGCAAGAGGGGGAGGCTTTCGAAGGGGAGCGGCCAGAGCAGCAGCAGCAAGAGCAGGAGGCAGGGAGGGGAACGGAAGTGCGGTTGAAGCCGGGACCACTGCAGACGATCTTCGGCCTGCCTCCAGATGAGGTGCGTTTCCTTAAGCGCCTCTCAAAGTGGTCTTATGAGGTGCCCGAGAAGTGCGGTTACAGCTGAACGTGGTCTTATGAGGTGCCCGAGAAGTGTGGTAAAACCCGGAACGCTGCAAGCGATCGTCGGCCTGCTTCCCAATGAACTTGCAGTCAAGGCTGTCTGTAACATCTATTATCAGAAACATGTTCCAGGACCGAGCCAGGATTTAGCCAGGGCCGAGCCAGGATTTAGCCAGGGCCGAGCCAGGATTTAGCCAGGGCCGAGCCAGGATTTAGCCAGGGCCGAGCCAGGACCGAGCCAGGACCGAGCCAGGGCCGAGCCAGAGCAGAGCCAGAGTCGAGCCAGGTCAGCAGGCTCTTCTCGCGTGCGCTGGAGCGATTGTTCCATTGTTCCTCTACTGCGGCGGCATGTTCCTCTCGGGGTCGCTCTTGTGCTACCACTCCACCGTCTTCTCCAAAGAATCTCTCTGTGTGCATTCCTTTTATGCATTGCATGGCAGGTCATTCGGCACTCCTTCTCATGTGCGCTGGAGCGGTCATTCCTCTACCATGGCCGCATGTTCCTCTCAGGGGCGCACCTCTGCTTCCACTCCAACGTCTTCTCAAAGGAACTGACCGTGTGCATTCCATACCAAGACATTGAGGAGGTGAGGTGGTGGGCAGGTGGAGAGGTGTGAGAAGCAATGTTTTAAACGGGATGGGAATAAGAATGGCATAGCTTACACCTGTGCTTCCACTCCAACGCCTTCTCCAAGGAGCTGTTTGTGTGCATTGTATACCAAGACATTGAGGAGGTGAGGTGGTGGGCAGGTGGAGAGGTGTAAGGAGCAATGTTTTAGAGGGAATGGGAATAAGGATGGGAGTGCTTAGCGAGCTTGCTGTTGAACTAGGGATGAGCAAAATCCCGAACGCCTGTTCGGTTGGCCTCGAACATGTTCGAGGCGAACCGAACAGACATTTTTTTTTGCCTAAATCGTTCGAGGCGAACATGTTCGGTGGTCGGCCGAACATGTTCGCCGTTCGCCATTGATTTTTGGCTAAGGGAATTCGAACATGAACGCGTTCGTGTTCGAATTGGGTGCCCCGCGAACACAAAAGTGTTCGCGTCAAAATTGGCCGCGACCAGTTTTAGGTCGCGGCCGTTTAGAGTTTGAGCTCATTTCGTGAGCTCAAACTCAAAACGCCTTTAGCGCTTATCCCTCTCTCACACAACCGCCCTAGCCTTGCGGTTTTACTAGCCATCGCACACCTTACATCGTTCATCTAGACGGACATTAGGGTTAGGGTAGTTCGTAGTGTAGGGTGTTTGTGTGAACATTAGTGTTGAGAAGCATAGGGATCAAGCACCAAGCGGTCAAGGTGTCAAGTTGTAGAGACGGCGTTTCACAATATGACCACTGTGACTATATCGAATTTTCCCTTTGGCGAACTCGAACATGTTCGAGTCAAACATGTTCGAGTTCGCATGCTGCAACAATTCGTTTGCCCCCCAGGGCGAACGGCGAACACCTGTTTTCGCCCAAATAGTTCGCCGAACCGAACAGTGTTCGGTTCGGTATAAGTCGATGTTCGATAGGGGGCGAACAAGAACATGTTCGAGTTCGCCCTCTGCTCATCCCTATGTTGAACTTATTTCGGTGGTCATAGAAACAACTCTATAACCCCTCGAAATAAGTTCAACAGCAAGCTCGCTTCCACTCCAACGCCTTCTCCAAGGAGCTGTTTGTGTGCATTCCATACCAAGACATTGAGGAGGTGAGGTGGTGGGCAGGTAGAGAGGTGTGAGACACAATGTTATTGAGGGAATGGGAACAAGAATGGCATAGCTTGCGCCTCTGCTTCCACTCCAACTTTTTCTTTTGTGTGCATTTCGTACCAAAACATTGAGGAGTTGAGGTTGAGGAGGTGAGTTGGGCAGGCAGACAGATGTTTTGAGACGTCTCAAAACTTTGCTGCTACATTGGCACGTTTCTAAGGAGTTATTTGTGTGCATTCCCTACCAAGACTTTGAGGAGGCGAGGTAGACAAATGGAGGCGTTGGAAGCAATTTGTTTTTCTTTTCTTTTATTTTCTTTTCTTTTTTTAGGGAATTGGAACGGCCATAGCTTGAATCTGTGCTTTCATTCCAACACCGTTTCAAATGAGCTGTTTGTCTATCTGTGTGCATTTTCAGTGATTTGGAAGGGAAAACATATGACAATTACTTTCACGGAGAGCGTGTCGTTGAAGTAATTTTAACGAGTGATATGAGCTGTGCAAAATGATAGCAGGGACTGGTGTCGTCATTGATAAAGTGGACGTGGTAGGGAGGGTACATATGTATCATGTCAATTTTATCAATGCTGACACCAACCTCTGCTTTTATTTTGCACGGCACACTGAAATCACTCGTTGTAGTTGTTTCGCCGACACGCTCTCCATGGAAGTGATTGTCGTTAGGTTACTATACTATGCGTTTCTTCCAAGCCACCGAAGGGGAGCAGATTTGTAACAGCGTAGCTCTTACTTGTGCTTCCATTCCAACGTCTTTTTTAGGGGTTGTCTGCTTACGTTCCATTCTCTTCCCTTTCCTTCCCGTTCCCATGGCCACGCCCCCGCTCTAACCACTTCAGGTTCGTCGCAGCACACACGCGCTGATCAACCCAGCCATGACGGTGGTGTTGCATCTGGGCACAGGCGGACACGGGGTGCCTCCTCTACCCAGTCCCGATGGTGAGCTTGCGTGTTGAGGTGTCTTAATGCTTGAGCTGGCATGCGCATAAGCCCTGTACACACCCCACCCCTCACATGCACACATGCACTGATCAACCCAGCCATGGCGGTGGTGTTGCATCTGGGCACAGGCGGACACGGGGTGCCCCCTCTACCAAGTCCTGATGGTGAGTGTGCGTGTGGGAGGCACATCAATCTTTATATTAACCCCTCACATGCACATAAGCCCTGACCCCATCCCATCACATGCACGCATGCGCTGATCAACCCAGCCATGACGGCGGTGCTGCATCTGGGCACAGGGGGGCGCGGGCGGGGTGCCACCTCTTCCCAGCCCAGTATCACCCGCGCAGTAGCATTGCCTTGCTTGCACGTTCGTCCATCCTGTCTGTCGTGGTGTGTGACACACAAGTTGCTTTGGTTTGTGGAACCGAGGCCATGCCGTGCCGATACTTTGCTGTGCTATGTATGTCGTTGGTGGTCCTAACCCTCCTCATGCCCCTCCATGCGACCGAGTGTAATACAGGCTTGCATCGTGCTGGAACAGAGGTCATGCCATGTGCCTGCTGCTGTGCGCTTTCTCCTTATGCCCATCCCATCCCTTCCCCCTCGCATCCCCCCTTCCCGCTCGCCCCTCCCCTCCCTCCCCACACTCCGCTCCTTTTCCTCAGGTCGAGTGAAGTACAAGTTTGCATCGTTTTGGAACCGGGGCCATGCCATGCCATGCGGCTCTCTTGCCACTAGTCCTCATTCCCCTCCCATCGCTCTCTGCTTGCGTCCCCCTCCCTCCTTGACCACCCTCCTCGCAGGTCGAGTGAAGTACAAGTTTGCATCGATTTAGAACCGGGATCATGCCATGCGCCTGCTATCTCTTTCCCTTCTTAGTGCCGGCTCTTACCATCCCATCCCCCTTGTATCCTCCTCCCCTCCTCGCAGGTCGAGTGAAGTACAAGTTTGCATCGTTTTGGAACCGGGGCCATGCCATGCGGCTGCTGCAGGAGGCGATTGCGGAGTTCTGGAAGACCGAAGAGGCAGCTGCGCTGGTGCGTTCTCTCTGCCCCTGGTGCCCAGCCCGTTGTGCTCACCACCATCGGCTCTCCTGCCTCTTGGGTTCGAGGTCAGTGCCTGCTGCTGCAGGAGGCCATTGCCAAGTTCTGGAGAAGAGGCTGCTGCTCTGGTGCGTATCTATCTTCTTGTCCTCGCCCTTGGCTCTCCGGCTGGGTGGTAGCATGCAGGCAGTGCCTGCTGCTGCAGGAGGCCATTGCCGAGTTCTGGAAGACAGAAGAAGCAGCTGCGCTGGTACGTATATATCTTCTTGTACTTGCTGCTGGCTCTCTGGCTGGGTGGTAGCATGCAGGCATCGCCTGCTGCTGCAGGAGGTGATTGCAGAGTTCTGGAAGACTGAAGAGGCTGCTGCTGCGCTGGTACGTATCTCTTTGTTCCCACAGTTAACTCTCCTGTTACTCGACCATAGCTCTCCTGTTGCCCGCACTACCAGCTCTTCCGCCCGCCTCGTTGCATCGAGGTAAGAGCCTCCTGTACTACCTGCATGAAGCGATTCCCGAGTTCTTGTACTCGCTGCTGGCTCTCCTGGTACCCGTTATCAGGCCTGTTGCTTATTTGCATCAATGTAAGCACCTGCTGCAGGAGGGAGGCCTTTGCAGAATTCTGTCACTGGACTCTCCCAACTCACCATATCTCCCCAAAGTTTGTCATTTTGTAATCCCACAATCGAATCCCCCTAAATTCCACTGTAGGAGTGAAAAGGTGTTAAATTTGATTTGAGTAAGCCACCTAAATGTGGAGCCACCAAGAGGCTCTATACTACAAGCAAGGATCAAGGAAGGATTGGAGAGGAGGAGTTCCCTATTGGCCACTAAGCTGGCCAATGAAATGATTTGCTTGCGAACTAAGCAACCAGGATTAGATTGGGACAAATGAGTTGACAAGTGCCAACCAAGGTCAACCAGGGTCAACCAAGGTCAGCCAAGGTCAAGGACCAACCTTGGGCCAACCACACTAGGGTCGTGTACACCCGTCCATCAACAGTCCAAATTCGTTAAATGCACCTTCTATTCTAGAATATGTATGTTGTTTTTTTATTTATATTACATCAAGGAGGAGGAGGAGCATGACCGGTTAGGGGTGATAAGGGCGATTCGGGTGACTAGGGACGGAGCAGTGGAGGGAAGAGAATCCTTTTCACTTCACAAATCTCAAAACCGCCATGGCAGGAGGAGCAGGGCCGGTTACGGGCCGTACGTATGAGTGATGGAGCAGTGAAGGGAATTTTTCTTATTTCCAATTCTATCACCCCCCCCCAAACGACTCTTTTTCAGTTGTGAAGCCAAGCGGAGGAGCAGGACCGGTTACGGGCCATCAGCATGAGGGATGGGGTAATCAAGGGGAGAAAATTATCTGCACATCAGACATCCCCAAAACTGCCGTGGCAGGAGGAGAAGCAGCAGGACCGTTACTGGCCACACGCATGAAAACGTGGCAGTAGGGGATCCCCCATTTCTCCAATTATGTCAAACCCCCCCTCAACAACTCTTTTTCAAATTGGCAGGAGGAGGAGCAGGATCGGTTACGGGCGATAAGCATGAGGGACGGAGCATTAGAAGGGTTGTCATTTAGAGGAGCGGCTTTGGAAGCAGCAGAGGAGGAGAAGGAGAAACAACCCTTCCTCGACCTCACCGTGCTGGAGCACTTGCTGCAGGTGAGAGTGGTTTTGCAAGGTTTCTCCTCTTCTGATGCACTCAGATCAGCATGAGAGATGGGGCATTAGAAGGGTTGTTCTATAGAGGGGCAGCATCGAAGGCTGCGGAGCAGGAGAAGGAGAAACAACCCTTCTTCGACCTCACCGTGCTGGAGCACTTGCTGCAGGTGAGGCCTCTTCTCTTTTGATGCGCTCAGATCAGCATGCGGGATGGGGCAATGGAGTGCACAGCAGACACTTCCCATTGAGCGTCCTCCATTTTTTATTCATCCGACTTCTTACCCCCCTTCCCTGTGTTTCTGTTCTTCGACCGTTTTACGTCTTCCCTTCCTCCTCTCCCCCCCCCACCCAGTTCTGCGTGCCATCCACTTAAGGAGCCTGTTTCAATGAGTCGTGTTTTGAGTCGACTCAAAACACGTGCCATGCACGGAAGAAGCTTTCTTCAACCTCCGTTCCTCCAATTTTTTCCAAGAACCTCATAAGTCAATTCATTCGATTCCCTTTCTTTCTGTGCTTTTCCCCCTCTGCCCTCCCCTCCCAGTTCGAGGTGCCCTGCACAGCAGAAACCTACTTCAATCTCCTCTACTCCGATTCGTCTGATTTCGTCGTGGTTTACCGAGCCAAGCGCAAGGACACAGAGCTGAAGGTGAGCCTTGGGGTTAAACGGAGTGACGCGTTGACCGCACATAAAAACCCTAAACCATGGTGTACCGAGCCAAGCGCAAGGACACGGAGCTGAAGGTGAGGCACGGGAACAACACAGCAGTAGGCTAGGCTTGGACCAAACAGAGCGAAAGGTGAGTCATGTGTGCCGTGCCAGATGCCGTAAGGCTCTGCCGTGGTATACCGAGCCTAAGGCCTCGCGGCATCTGACATTGAGGTGAAGGTGAGGCGCGGTCCAAACGAGGCGAAAGGTGAGGCAGGACTTTTTCAACTGTATGAAACGTTTCAGGAGCAAAGGATCCTAATAACCAACTAGTTGCTGAGATCCGTTTGCTCTTGAAGCATTTACAGGAAGTCCAATGTGCATCCAGCCAATTGAGCAATGTTTCACTTCTTTTACGCAACCTATAACATCTTGCCAGCCGTTTCAGGCAGTGATTTCGCTTGCATTGCATGTTTTCTTCCTCTTATTCCATTTGCTTCCTCTCATCCCACTTGCTTCCTTCAATTCTTGCCTTGCAGGTGGGCGAGTGGAAGGAAACAGAGCAGTACGGAGGCAAGATGAGGGAGGTAAGTTAAGGGACAAACTTCCTGGAAGATGGAAAGGGAGAAAAAAATCAGAAACAAACATGGTTGTTCAATCTGAGTATAATAGCAAATTGATCGTTTTCAGTTTCAGGAGATGAGAAGCGATAATTCAGGAAAGGTGATCAGAAAAGGTACGGGCTTTGTCATGTTTCACTCGACATCTTTCTCACACTCCCGCTCTCAGTCTGGCTGTCAGTGTGACTGATAGCTACAGACAGGTAGCGACTCACTCTCAAATTCGTCTGAAAAGGGCTCTTCCATGTGCCCACCCTCCACTGCCATGGCCGATTGGTGGTGTATGGAGTGGCACGCAGGATTTCATGCTCTGCTTGCCACGCACCCACCCATCGTTCAGCCGCCCTGCCTGCACTCCACCCCCTCTCTCCCCCACTCCCCTTTCTCCACTGCCATGACCGATTGGTGGTGTATGGAGTGGCACACAGGATTTCATGCTCTGCTTGCCACACACCCACCCATCGTTTAGCCGCCCTGCCTGCACTGCACCCCCTCTCTCCCCCACTCCCCTTTCTCCACTGCCATGACCGATTGGTGGTGTATGGAGTGGCACGCGGGATTTCATGCTCTGCTTGCCACGCACCCACCCATCGTTCAGCCGCCCTGCCTGCACTGCACCCCCTCTCTCCCCCACTCCCCTTTCTCCACTGCCATGGCCGATTGGTGGTGTATGGAGTGGCACGCAGGATTTCATGCTCTGCTTGCCACGCACCCACCCATCGTTCAGCCGCCATGCCTGCACACTCTCCCCCACTCCCCGCCTCCCCTGTGCTCCCACCCAGGTGACCTATCGCTCGCTCTGTGACTCCCCCATGTGCCCACCCTCCACTGCCATGACCGAGTGGCTGTGGCTGAGTGGCAGCACACGGCCTTTCCTAGCTGACCCACGTGACCTCTCTTCCCACCCCTACCCGCCCCCCTGTCTTCCCAGGTGACCTATCGCTCGCTCTGCGACTCCCCCATGTGCCCACCCTCCACTGCCATGACTGAGTGGCAGCACACGGCCTTCTCTGCTCCAGACCACAAGCACCTGGTGCGTGCATGCTTTATATGTATCTCTGAGTGGAACACAACACGCGTGTAGAAATTGAAGTGCTCCTGAGGCCACCCTCCTCCACGGCCATGACTGAGTGGCAGCACATGGCCTTCTCTGCTCCAGACCACAACCACCTGGTGCGTGAATGCTCCATCTTATTGAAATATACAAATTTACTGATGGAGATGTTATAACAACCCAGCACATGCCAAGCACATCTTGTGCTGTGTGTTGCAGTCTGATTTCTTTGACTGACTGAAACAGTTTCTCGCGTTGCTTGCATGTCATTGTTCGGACTGTAACAACTCCCCTTAGTCCTGGTGATCTTCAATGAAACCATAGAAGTATGAACCTTATTCTTGCATCCATGAAGCCCCTCTCATCAGCTGCTGAGATGATGTGATGATGTGTGTGCTCCTTTTATAGCATCTCTCATCTATGCTGTGTTGCCTGTATCTCTCATCTCTCACTTCTCCCATCTTCCCTCCATCGTTTCCCACCAGCTGCTCGAGCTAATGAACCAAGCGCATGACATGCCGTTTGGGCCCTATCTGGTACAGTCGTGCCTGTACCTCTTGTATCTCATCTCTCACATCTCCCAACTCCCAACTCTCAACTCCTCTCAAACCAGGTACTGGAGCTAATAAACCAGGCGCATGACGTGCCGTTTGGATCCTATCTGTTACAGTCTCGCCTGTATTTCTTGTACCACATATTTCTCATCTCTCAAATATCCCAACTTTCAATCCCCCTCCCTGGTCCCCCACCAGGTCTTGGAGCTAATAAACCAGGCGCATGACGTGCCGTTTGGGTCCTACTTTGAGGTGAGGCATGGGGTGTGGTGTGATTATATGAGCAGCCTAAGAAGGTAAGAACAGATCAAATCTAAGAGGTGAACGGGAAACGTTAGCGAATCATTTCTATCCAGGTTAGTGGACTCAAGTTACGGCTGGTATATGGTCGTCAGCATCTCGCAGACAAAAAAACGAGCCAGCAAGATGCTGACGACCATTTGCCAGCCATAACTTGAGTCCACTAATCTGGATAGGAATGATTCGCTAATGTTTCCCGTTCGCCTCTTAAATTCTTTCTGTTGTTACCTTCCTTTCTTACGCTTCTCCCCCACTTTTAAAATGGATAACATGACACCAGCGCTCGCTGTAGGCCGTCACAGGAAGGCGGGGGACCGAGCAAGACTGTGCAGGGCCTTTGAGCACCTTAGAACTAGAGATGAAATATGTGTTGGCTCTTAAACATCTCAAAATTGGGAGTTTATATCAACCCTTTTGCTCTTTTCTGTGGTTCTCAGGTGCATGCACAATGGACAGTCAAAACGACTTCCGACAACCCCGAGAGCCCATCGTGCAGCGCCGAGCTCAAAGCAGGTCGGTGGTCGTGGCTTTTCAGTTGAGTCAAATGTCTCCCTGTGAGGCAACTCCGATAACCCCGAGAGCCCATCGTGAAGTGCTGAACTTAAAGCCGGTCAGTGGTTATGCTGTTTGGCTTCAACTCAAAAGTCAACGGCTGCCCGATTTCAGTCTGTGTGTGTCCTTTTGCATTGTTGTGTTCAGGCTCTGAACCTTGTGGCTCATGCTGTGTGGTGCTTGCATGGTGCATGCTGCTTGGTGCATGGCGTGTGGTACATTGCATTTGTGACATAATTGCACGAGTGCGTACCAATAAGTGAGTCGTCTAAAGTTTTTTTTTGCCAGGGGGAAGGGACAGATTTGACTTGCATTGAATCTTGTTGACATTTCTGTGTATCAATGTCTGTGCGTGTGTGAATTGCAGGTGTGCACTTCAAGAAGTGGTGCATGATGCAAGGGAAGATCCGGCAGGGAGCGCAGGCAGAGGTGAGTGCATGTGGTGCCCTTCCCTGTTGTTTGTAGTAGCTTGTGAGGTATCTTATGAGGCACATGTGTCATCTTCGTTCCAGCTCTGATATTACAGCAATATGTGCGCTGTTGAATTGTTGCTGCTTGCACTTGTTTGCTTTGTTGCCCTTTCTGGTATCCCGTGCAGATGACGATGATGGAGATGGCAATGACATACATAGCAGAGCGAACACAGGGCGGTAACCAGCCGGTTGACTGTAATGCTATCTCCTCTGGTAGCACATCTCCCCCTTTGTTGCCCTCTCTCTCCCCTTCCTGCAGATGAAGAGGAACAGCCAGGCGATGATGGAGATGCAATGACAAACATAGCCGAGCGCACACAGGGCGGTAACCAGCCGGTTGACTGAGCACACGCAGGTGGTAACCAGCTGCTGCTGATAGCACATCTATCTCTTTGTTACCCCCTCCCTCTCGTCCTCTCCTTTTCTTCCTTGCCTGTGCAGATGAAGAGGAACAGCCAGGCGATGATGGAGATGGCAATGACATACATAGCTGAGCGCACACAGGGCGGTAACCAGCCGGCTAATTGTAACGCTGCTGGGAGCGTTGGGGCAGACAGCAGTGATAGTAATGGGAGAGGAAACGGGGGTGATGTGAAGGTGGAGGAGGGAGGGGAAGCAGGGGGAGTGGAAGGAAGGGAGAATCTTGTACCTGGTGGTGATAGTAGAAGACAAGGAAGTGTAGACACCAAGCCAGGGTGATTGCATTTCAAGTTTTGTTGTCTAAGAGGATAAGAGTGCTGCTATATGTTTGTTACTGCATCAATCGATGCCCTTGGTTCAGCCCCTGTAAATAGTGGTTCAGGAAAGAAAATATTTTCTACTGTGGTGGTCATTACCGTGGTGGTTCCAAGTATTACTCATTAAACTAACATGGTTTTCTTATCAATGGAGCAGACCACTAGAACAAAGCTTCCGTCCGTTCCGTAGCACTTTTTAGCGAATCCGTTTCACCCTTGTGCTAGACCCCACTAAAAGCCTAATGCGGCACAAGCGGGCTAAGGAAGACTCGACTGTAGCGTATCGCATGGCGATTATTCTGCACGGATGACGCCGTTCTCTCCAGCCTTCGGCTCGCAGCGGCAGTACCGTTGTCGTGCTATTGCTGCGGGAATTCTGAGACAACCCAACGTTAGGGCATGATGAAATCGGCATTTGCGGAAGTAGTACGCCGCCTGTAGTCGATTCCCCGCTTGCGAAAAAGTAGTAGGATGTGATAGTGCTTCGCCACGCCACTCCTGACGTTATACGCGTTACAAAGCGTCTCAGGACTCTGTTGGAAGAACTAACAAGGGGAAGCCAACTCGCCTGGAAAAAGAACCTTGGGAATGCCGACGCCGTACGCGCGAGAGCTGGCGTGTGGAATCGTGAAGGACCACTTCGGGGACCAAGTGGAGGTGCGTGCGGGTGTTACCTGGGGGAGGTGCGCCCGGGTGCTACCTGGGAGAGGTGCATTTAAGTGTGTTGTGTTTTATGGGTGAGACCCATCTAAGGTGTTACCTGGGAGAGGTGCGTCCAGGTGTTATCAGGACCATTTCATGAAGGGCCACTTTGGTGGTGGAAGTGCGTGTGAGTGTTTTTGGGGGAGGCGAATCCAGGTTTATCTGGGGGAGGGGAGAGGGCATCCAGGTGTTATCCAGGTGGCATCCAGGACCACTTCTGGAACCAGGAGGAGGTGCGAGCGTGCGAGTGTTGCTCGGTGGGCACTCGCTCGGTAGATTCCTGCCCGGTGGACAGGGGAATCTAGGCTGTTTCTCCTTTCAGTTCCCCATTCCTCCTCCCTTCGATTCCCCACCCTTCCTTTCCACCCTCCTCCACCCCATGCAGGCGGTATGTCGCACACTGCTGGAGAAAGAACAGCTCGGCCTGTCCCTTCACGGCCCTCCTGTTTATTCCTTATGTCTTCTACCCTACCCCCTTCCCCCACTCCCCCACACCAGACGGTATGCCGCACGCTGCTAGAGAAGGGACAGCTGGGCCTGTCTCTCCAGGACCTCGCTCGCTTCACCACCCTCCCACTAATGCAACCTTTTTTCCTCCCCCTACTCCCTATCCCTCCTACCCCCTCCTATCAGACAGTATGCCGCACGCTATTGGAGAAGGGGCAGCTCGGCCTGTCCCTGCAGGACCTCACTCGTTTCACCGCCCTGCCCCCCCCTTCGCTCCGCTCTGCTCTCCTGGTGCTAGTACAGCACAACTGCGCGCAGGCCTTTCGGCCACAGACTGAAGGTGAGCCAGGCTGCCAGGGGTGAGGGTTGTGGGTTTACCGTCTCATAGCTCTCTCTCCTCCCTCAAATTTGAGTCGACTCAAAACCAGGGGTGAGGGTTGTGGGTTTACCGTCTCAGAGCTCTCTCTCCTCCCTCAAATTTGAGTCGACGCAAAACCAGGGGTGAGGGTTGTGGGTTTACCGTCTCATAGCTCTCTCTCCTCCCTCAAATTTGAGTCGACTCAAAACCAGGGGTGAGGGTTGTGGGTTTACCGTCTCAGAGCTCTCTCTCCTCCCTCAGTTTGAGTCGACGTAAAACCAGGGGTGAGGGTTGTGGGTTTACCGTCTCATAGCTCTCCCTCCTCCCTCAATTTGAGTCGACGCAAAACCAGGGGTGAGGGTTGTGGGTTTACCGTCTCAGAGCTCTCTCTCCTCCCTCAAATTTGAGTCGACTCAAAACCAGGGGTGAGGGTTGTGGGTTTACCGTCTCAGAGCTCTCCCTCCTCCCTCAGGGTTCAGGGTGTTGGGTTTCCTACCTCCCCCTCCCTCCCCCTTCTTTCCGCTCCGCTCTCCTGGTGCTCGTACAGCACAACTGCGTGCAGGCATTTCGACCGTAGGCAGACTGAAGGTGGATTATTCAGGGTTTAAGGTTAAGGCTGTGACTTGACTTGACTTGACCCTCTCCCTCCTCCCTCAGGGTTCAGGATGTTGGGTTTCCTTTCACCCCCTCCCTCCCCGTTCGTTCGGCTCTGCTCTCACACAGGCCTTCCGGCCTTTTGGCCCGTACCCAGGCCAACTGGTCTCTTATCCTGCACCCCACACTCTTGAGAACTCCCAATAGTGCTGCACAGCACAACTGCACTGCACTGCACTGCACACAGGCCTTTTGGCCCGTACGCAGGCCAACCGGTCTACTTTTGAGGCACCTCAAAAGTTGGCGCCTCAAAAGTAGGCGCCTCAAAAGTGAACTGCACAGTGCACACAGGCCTTTCGGCCCGCCTGCACCCACCCCACCCCACCACACTCTACATCACTCTACTTTTGAGTCGACTCAAAAGTCAACGCAGGCGAACCGGCTTCTTGGCCTGCACCCACCCCACCTATATTGGAGTGACTTTTGAGAATTCTCAAAAGTCACCCCACCACACTCTACATCGCTCTACAGGACTCCATTCTGCCTCGCCTCCCCTGTGCGTTGATTTAACTCTTCACACCCTCTTCAACCACACTCCCTCCTTTTCCTCTCATCCTGCCCAACCCCCATTCCCTTCCAGACTCCGGTCTTCTCGCCCGCACGCCCACGCTCTACATCGCTCATCAGGACTCCATCCTGCCTCGCCTTCTCTGCGCATACTGACTCTCCACACCCCCCTTAATCTTAATCCACGGTCCGCCACCATCCCCTACTTCCCCTGCTCACCCCATTCCCTTCCAGACTCTGGCCTTCTCGCCCGCACGCCCACGCTCTACATCGCTCATCAGGACCCCATCCTGCCTCGCCTCCCCTTTGGAACGATTCCATTCTCCTGCTTCCCCCCTTGCTCTTTTCAACCCCTCCTTCATAGAGACACCAGTCCCCTGGCCCGCACGCCCACGCTCTACAGGACCCCATCCTGCTTCACTTAAAAGCCCCCTCTGCCTGCCCTTCCCCGCTTCTTCCCCACCCACGCCCTCCCCAGGACACCAGACCTCTTGCCCGCACGTCAACCCTCTACATTGCGCTTCAGGACTTCATCCTGCCCCGCCTGCGCGAACCACCAAGCTAACCTTTCACACCCACTCCAACCACTCCAAACCCCTGCTTCTTTCCCCCCATAGACACGGGTCCTCTGACCCGCATGCCCACACTCTACGTCGCTCTGCAGGACTTCATCCTGCCTCGCCTGCGGTGCTTTGATCTAACTTTTTACACCCCTTCTTATCCTTCCCAACCCCTTCTGCTCCCCTGCCAGACACGGGTCCCCTGGCCCGCACACCAACCCTATACATCGCTCTGCAGGACTCCATCCTGCCTCGCCTGCGCTTCCCCAAGTTCATGGCGCAGACAAACGAACTGCTGGGAGACGAGGTGGGTGTGTGGAATGCGGTGGAGTAGGGTGGAGTGGGGTGAAGTGGTCGAAGACGCGGGTTAGGCGTGTCACTTCATGGTTCTGCCTCGCCTGCGCTTCCCCAAGTTCATGGCTCAGACGAACGAGCTGCTGGGAGACGAAGTGGGTGGGTGGTTGGTTGATGGGTGGAAGGGTCGGTTGGTGGATGAGTGGATGGGCGGGTGGGGCAGAGGCAGTGATTGACGCTCTTTGAGACGTCTCAAAACTCTTTTGAAGCATGTTTTTTTTTTCTAGAATTCTTAAGGTGACTTTTGAGTCGACTCAAAAGTTATTTCAGAATTCTAAAAAAAAAATCCTGCAACATCGTGGATGGCCGGGTGGGGCAGAGGCAGTGATTGACGCTCTTTGAGACGTCTTAAAACTCTTTTGAAGCATGGTTGCCTTGCCTGCCCTCGGTTTCCCACAGTGGGGCGTTCCACCATCTCGGGCAGCGATCGCCCCACAGTTCCCTTGATGCCCCACCCCCACGCGCCCCCCTTTCTTCCCGCACCCCCCATTTAAGCACTATGTTCAGGCAGAAGCAGTGGTGGAGGCTCTTCTGGGGGACCACAGCCACCTGTCCCGCCCCCAGCTGGTGAAGCAGCCGAAGTTCCCTCAATGTGTCATCCTCCCTTTTCTTCCTGCACCCCCGCTCCCCCTCCCAACACACCTCCCGTCAGGCAAACGTAAAGTGGTGGAGGCTCTTCTGGAGCACGGCCGTCTGTTCCTGCACCAGCTCGTGCAGCGATAACACCGCACTTCCCTTGATGCCCCATTTACCACCCACCCTTTCCCCTTCCCCCTCCAACACACCCCTCGCCAGGCAGAGGCAGTGGTGGAGGCTCTTTTGGAGCACGGCCGCCTGTTCCCATGCCGCATCTCTCCCCCCCCCCTCTCTCCACTTTTCCCCTTCCCCATCCAGCACACACCTCGCCAGGCAGAGGCAGTGGTGGAGGCTCTTTTGGAGCACGGCCGCCTGTTCCCATGCCGCATCTTTTGGAGCACGGCCGCCATGCCGCATCTTTTGGAGCACGGTCGCCATGCCGCATCTTTTGGAGCACGGCCGCCATGCCGCATCTTTTGGAGCACGGCCGCCTGGCACAGCAATCAAAGTTCCCTCAATGCCCCATCCTCGCTTTATTCTCCCTGTCCCCGTCCCACCCAACACACCTCTCATCAGGCAGAGGCAGTGGTGGAGGCTCTTTTAGAGCACGGCCGCCTGTCCCTGCACCAGCTCGTGCAGCGATCAGTGGCAAAGGCTGGCTCGTCTGATCCCTCTGCTGCCAAGAGTAAGCAACTTGTAGGTTGAGATGCAAGCATGAGAGTATGTGTGTCTGTCTTTGAGGCGCCTCAGAAGCACGACTGGGTCGGGTCCGTTGACTGCCACTGCATCAACTTGTGCCTTTTGAGAATTCTCAAAGCCGATCAGTGGCGAAGGCTGGCTCGTCTGATCCCTCTGCCGCAAAGAGTAAGCAACTTGTTGCTTGGCTGCCCTTTGATTATGTATGTCTATTTTGAGCCGCCTCAAGAGCAAATGTTTCTTTTTATTATTCTTATTCATTTGTTCGTTTGATTTTTTTTCTTTTTAATTCTTCGTTTGCTTCTTATTCTTTTGTTTTTTCCACGTTCGTTTGCTCACCCTGCCGTTCCTGCAGCCGAGGGTCAGGTTCGGCAGCAGCTGGTGGCGGCGCTGTCAGTGCTGATCCATGAGAGGCTCGTCGAGAGGGTCGGGGCCCCCGAGCCTATGCTGCCGGCTCGGGGAGCAAGCAGCGGCGGCGATGCTCCCAAGCCCGCTGCTCGTGCGCGAGTGGTGAGTTTGTTCTCCCTCTCCAGACACTCTTTCCCTCTTATTTGTAGTGCCTAATCCGGTTCACCAATCTCAAATGTGGCTTCGGTTCATTCAGAGGTGGTGTTGCAGCGCGCGTGGTGTATTCAGAGGTGCTCGGTTCACTTGTATTGAATCGGAGGAGGGGCGGAGCATCGCATGCTGCACTCACACTCGCTCACTCCTGCCATCTTTTCTCCCTTGCCTCTCTCAGTGCACGCGAGCAATGATGGAATCGTCTGGCTATCTTTTGAGGCGCCTATCTTTTAAGTCGACTCAAAACTCGACTTATCACACACAACTCAACAGTCGACTCAAAACTCGCCTCAGAAGTTATTCTTTGAGGCGCCTATCCTGACTCGGAGGAGCACCGGGTGGTGGTTGTTGCAGCGTGCTATTGCCACGCACTTGCTCCCTCCTGCTGTGTTTTCCATGTGCCGTTTGCTAACCTGTCCCACCCTCTCAGCGCACTCGGGCAATGATGGAGTGGTCGGGGTATGTTGACTCGGAGGAACACCGTGTGGTCGTTGCAACGACACTCACTCTCTCCTGATGTTTTTCTCTATATTACTCCCTGACGTCAGCCCCCGTGTCTCACCCCACCCTCTCAGCGCATGAGGGCAATGATGGAGTGGTCCGACTACGTTGATTCTGAAGAGCACCACGTGGTTGTTGCAGTGTGCTGCACCCACACTCATTTACTCCTCTCCTCTCATGTTTGCATGTCCCCTTCCCTTCCTGCTCCCACCCTTCCTCTCATCCCTCTCAGCGGATGTGGGCAATGATGGAATCGTCTGGGCACGTCGACTCCGAAGAGTACCGCGTGGTCGTTGCAGCGCGCTGCTGCTGCCGCCATACTCATTCCCTCCTCTCCTCCCATGCTTGAACGTCCCCTTCCCTTCCTGATTTCATTCACTCTTCCTCCCTATCAGCGCATGCGGGCAACGATGGAGTCGTCAGGCTACTTTGATTCAGAGGAGCATCGTGTGGTCGTTGCAGCGCGCTGCAGCCACTCCCACTCCGCTCACTCCTGCCATGTTTCCCTCCTTGCTCTTTCAGCGCACGCGTGCCATGATGGAATCGTCTGGCTACTTTGACTCATGATTGAAGAAGGGTTTTGAGACGTCTCAGAACCCTTCTTCAATCAGCGCGCTGCAGCCACTCCCACTCCGCTCACTCCTGCCATGTTTTCCCCCTTGCTCACTCTTTCAGCGCACACGTGCCATGATGGAATCGTCTGGCTACTTTGATTCAGAGGAGCATCGTGTGGTCATTGCGGCGCGCTGCAGCGATGCTCTGCGCTTCCAGCTGCCTGCTGCCTGGGTGCTGTCGGGTGGTGATGGCGCTGGTGGCAATGCTGTTAGTGCTGCTGCTGTGGATGGGAGCGCAGGGGCGGATGGGGGGATGTCAGCAGCAGCAGCAGCAAAGCTGAAGGTGAGTGGGATGTTGTAGATTCAGGATCGGCTGTGTTGTTTCGGGAAAGAACACCGACTGGTCGTTGCAGCGCACTGCAGCGATGCTCTGCGCTTCCAGCTGCCCGCTGCCTGGGTGCTGTCGGGTGGTGGTGGCGCTGGTGGCGGTGCTGCTAGTGCTGCTGCTGTGGATGGGAGCACTGGAGCAGATGGTGGGATGTCAGCAGCAGCAGCGGCCAAATTGAAGGTGATTATTCGGATCGTGGTGATTGTGCTGGCGCTGGTGCTGTTAGTGGTGCTGTGGATGGGAGCGCAGGGGCGGATGGTGGAATGTCAGCAGCAGCAGCAGCAAAGTTGAAGGTGAGTGAGTTGTTGGAATTGGTGGATCTCAATCGTATTTTGAGTCGACTCAAAATTACGAAGGTGAGTAATTTGTCGGAACGGAATTGGTGGATCTGGGTGCAGTGCAGGTGCAGCCGTGCTGTTTCAGGAAGCATCACCGGTGTTTCGCCCTGCACTGGTGGTGCCCCAATACAGTGTTTCCCCTTCTTCCCTTCTGCTCTGTACTTGCAGAGAAAGTGAGTGGTTCTAGACAATGAGGATGAGGATGAGGAGCAAGCGGGGCCCAGTGCCAAGCGGCCTGCAACGGGGTTGGCAGCAGGGGGAGGGAAGTGCAGGTGGAGGGGAGAAGCAAGTTTTTCTAGACAATGTTATGCCGCTTTTTCCCGTGGTCTCGTCCTCACTCACTTGCAGAGAAAGCGGGTGGTTCTAGACGATGACGATGAGGAGCAAGCGGGGCCCAGTGCCAAGCGCCCTGCAACGGGGTTGGCACCACACAGAGTTTTCCGTGTCTGCCCTTGCACTGCACCTCACCGCACCCCACCGCACCACACTTTCAGGGAAAGCGAGTGGTTCTAGATGCAGACGATGCGGAGGAGGAGCAAGCGGGACCCAGTGCCAAGCGGCAAGCGCTGGCCGCACTGCACCACACAGTGTTCCCCATTTCTGCCCTTGCACCGCACCCCACCGCACCTCCCTTGCAGAGGAAGCGAGTGGTCTTGGATGATGACGATGAGGAGGAGCAAGCAGGGCCCAGTGCCAAGCGGCCTGCACTGGTACCACCACACAGTGTTCCCGTACCATCAGACAGTGTTTCCCTTTGTACCCTTGCCCTCCACTCTATACCTGTAGAGAAAGCGAGTGGTGTTGGATGATGACGACGAGGAGGAGCAAGCAGGGCCCAGTGCCAAGCGGCCTGCACTGGCCGCACCACCACACAGTGTTTCCCATTTCTGCCCTTGCACCGCACCCCACCGCACCGCACTTGCAGAGAAAGCGAGTGGTGTTGGACGATGACGATGAGGAGGAGCAAGCGGGGCCTAGTGCCAAGAGGCTTGCAACGGGGGCGGCACCACACAATGTTTCCCATTTCTGCCTATGCACTGCACCCACCACACCGCACCCCACCGCACCGCACTTGCAGAGGAAGCGAGTGGTTTTGGATGACGATGATGATGAGGAGCAAGCGGGGCCCAGTGCCAAGCGGCCTGCCACAGGGGCTGCAGCAGGTGGAGGGGAGAAGCAGGGAGGAGGAGGGGAGGACTCTGGCGTGCTGTGGCGGGTGAACTATGAGGAGTTTCTTAGACGAACGAGACACCAGGTGGGTTGTGGGTGGTTGGGAGGAGAACAGCGCACCAGGTAGGCAGCCAACAAGACACCAGGAGTGAAGCAGGGAGGAGGAGGGGAGGACTCTGGCGGCGTGCTGTGGCGGGTGAACTATGAGGAGTTTCTCAGGCGAACGAGACACCAGGTTGGTTCTGGTGGGAAGATTCCATGCACCAGGTGGGCTTCATGTGGGAAGAGAACAAGGCACCAGGTGTGCAGCAAAGCAGGGAGGAGGGGAGGACTCTGGCGTGCTGTGGCAGATGAAACACGAGGAATTTCTCAGGAGAACGGGACACCAGGTGGGAAATTTTCAGATGCAAAAAAAACAGTGAAGGGTTTTCCGGTAGAATGGGACACACACCAAGTGGGGGCCTCTGTTACTGCTGTCACTGCCGTGCTTGCTCTTTCCCCTCCCTGACAACCCACTTTCCCACACCCGATTCCCGACACACACCCTCTTCCTTCCCCACACCCATATCCGCCACTCTTCACCCCTCTCCACCCCTCTCCACCCCTCTCCACCAGACCATAGTGGACTTTGTGCGGGAGAGCATCGACCCCGGCGCTTCCATCATCACGGCCGCCCTGCTCCATGCTGGAAAGAACCAGGAAACTTCCCTTCGACACCCGTACTCAGGTAGCGTACCTCACTCCCTAGATTTGATTCCTTTGATTCCTTTGGTGCTTTCTCAAGACACGAGCATTGCCATGCCAGCATCCCTCCTATACACCTCCCCTTCCCTGCCCTCCCAGCGTCTCTCTCCCTGGACTCGATAGTCAATGCAGTGCGAGGCACAGAAGACGGTCGCACCATGGCCCTGGATCGCATCAGATCCCTCTGCACCTCTTACTCCCCTCCCAGCATTCCTCCTATACACCTCCCCTTCCCTGCCCTCCCAGCGTCTCTCTCCCTGGACTCAATAGTCAATGCAGTGCGAGGCACAGAAGACGGTCGCACCATGGCCCTGGATCGCATCAGATCCCTCTGCACCTCTTACTCCCCTCCCAGCATTCCTCCTATACACCTCCCCTTCCCTGCCCTCCCAGCGTCTCTCTCCCTGGACTCGATAGTCAATGCAGTGCGAGGCACAGAAGACGGTCGCACCATGGCTCTGGATCGCATCAGACCCCTCTGCACCTCTTACTCCCCTCCCAGCATTCCTCCTATACACCTCCCCTTCCCTGCCCTCCCAGCGTCTCTCTCCCTGGACTCAATAGTCAATGCAGTGCGAGGCACAGAAGACGGTCGCACCATGGCCCTGGATCGCATCAGACCCCTCTGCACCTCTTACTCCCCTCCCAGCATTCCTCCTATACACCTCCCCTTCCCTGCCCTCCCAGCGTCTCTCTCCCTGGACTCAATAGTCAATGCAGTGCGAGGCACAGAAGACGGTCGCACCATGGCCCTGGATCGCATCAGGGCAGCTCTGCAGCTGCTCGTTGCTCATCCCAGCGCCGTGGCTTCTCGTTCCTCAGACGCTCACTACACCATCCGTGAGTCGTCGATCTGCGCATGTCAAACGTGAGTCATCAATCTGCACATGTCAAACGTGAGTCATCAATCTGCACATGTCAAACGTGAGTCATCCAATCCAATTCCACATGTCAAACTACTCAGAGTTGAGTTATATATACGTTGCACCACGAGCATGTAAACCTATCCAACTCCGCTAACCTTGTTGTGTGAGCGTGCCTGTGCTTGCATGTGTACGTGTGTATGCATGTGTGCATGCATGTGTGCATGCATGTGTGCATGCATGTGTGAATGTATGGATGGCTTGTGAATGCATAACGTGTGAATGGTCATTTCTGCTGTTGCTGTCAGAATCTGCAAAGATTATCGAGCTAGTGAAACTCAGAGAGGTGTGTTGACTTTAGTTGACTGACAGGGAAGTGCGTTGACTAGAGTTGACTCATGGATCGCGGGGCTATCCTTAGAGGGTTCGTTCATTCAATAGTACTTGTGATTACTCCATTAACTCTTGCCTTATAAATGCGCGTAAATTTTCATTTACTCCCCGTTTCCTCATTCCACGGGCAATGTTGTTTGTTTTTTCTCTTCTTCTTCTTTTGGATTGATTGTAGCAACATTTTACATCCCATCCCTCATGACTTTTGAGTCGACTCAAAAGTTGATTGTAGCAACATTTTATATCACATCCCTCACGGTGTTGTGCTGACTTTGTCGGTTCACAACGTGGTGGCCTTTGTAGGTAACCCTAAATCAGTTCTCGTCATATGCTCATCATCATTACCTCTTCGTTCATCCATTTCTAAGCCTTGACACATATGTATCACGTTGAGGGTTACTTACAAAGTGGTGTCAATGCCAGTCCCACGGAGGGAGACTACCGTGCGTCAATGCTTTGGGCCTTCTCTCACTCAATGCCCCACTTCTCCAACCTGTCAACCTCGCCCGTCCCACTACTGGTCACTCAGGTGGAAGCCATTGTTTCTCAACGTTTCGGCCCTTCTGCCTGCCGATTGTTCCGCCTGCTGCTGTCCAAGAACTGCTTGGAGCAGAAGCAGGTGGGATGGTGGGAAAGGGGGAGCGGGGGGAGGAGGGGGGCGGAGGCTAACCTAGCACAAAGAGCAGAGGTGGCAGGTATTTCATCGTATCTCAACGCTTCGAGCCTTCTGCCTGCCCACTGTTCTGCCTACTGCCCTCCAAGACCTGCCTGGAGCAGAAGCAGGTGAGATGGTGGGAGGGGGAATCGGGGAGGGAAGGATATTACTGAAGGTTGTTTAGGGATTTCAGAATTCACCCCCCTTTTCTTTGTCCCAATCAATTTTCCAAACCTAAAAGAAATTTCGTAATAGCTGTGCAACACGAGGTATTGGGGAGGCGGCCACGCTGTATGACAGGTGAGAGGCTGTTTTTCCTTTTCATTTCACTGATCCAATTTCTACCGGGAAAAACTGGCTGATGCAGTATTGCACGGGGCAGCTCTTCATCGCATCGACCATCCCTCTAATGTGTGCGAACTCCGTTCACCTATTGAAGGGCGGCCTAAAAATACTATGGACCCGAAGAAAACCTGAACTTTGGCCTCACGGATGACCAGAAAATGAGAAATTGAATGGGGGTGCGAAGGCTCCTTTTTTCTGGTCATCCGTGAGGTCAAAATTCAGTTTTTTCTTCGGGTCCAAAATATTTGTACGCCGGCCTGCAAAAGGAGAACGATCTTCGCACACTTTAGAGGGCTCATTGATGCGATGAAGAGCTGCCCATGCAATACTGCATCAATCAGTTTTGCCCGGTAGAAAAGAAAAGAAAAACAGCCTCTCGGCCGCCTCCTGTGGGCTGCATCACGCATGCACTCACAAATAACCTGAATTTTGGCCTCTTTTTTTTCTTTTTTTTTTTCCTCCCATTTTCGTAAAGAGGGAATTGGGGAGGCGGACCATGCCCGACAACAGCCAGGTGTGGGTAACACCAAAAGGGGTACCCCTCCACCGTTTCTCTTACCGGTTCTCTCACTTCCCGTGTCTCATCAGCCCTCTCTCTCCATCTCTCTTCACATGCCACTAGGCAGCGGAGCTGGCGATATCTCTTGCGGACGCACAGCAGCTGCTCTACCGAATGACCCTATTTTTTCCCTCTCTCCATCTCTCCCCACCCCACTCCATCTCTCGTACGATCCCACCAGGCGGCAGAACTTGCGATGATATCTCTTGCGGACGCACGGCAGCTGCTCTACCGAATGATGCTGGATGAGTTTGTGCAGCTGCAGGTATGGCGTAGTCTTGTATGTGTGATCGTCTTGTCTCCGCTAGATGGGCTGTATGTGTATGAATGCTGTATACGTCTCTACTTGCGCAGCTGCTCTACCGAATGATGCTGGACGAGTTTGTGCAGCTGCAGGTATGATGTAGTTGCATGTGGGCATGCATGCTACTCCACCTAGCTTCTCTAAGCATGCTTGCAGCTGCAGCTGCTCTACCGTATGATGCTGGGCGAGTTAGTGCAGCTGCAGGTATGGCATGGATGAGTGCAGGTATGGTGTGCTGTGGATGCATGTGCGAGATACTCTACCTAGCTCCTCTAGGGCCGAGGCGTGCTTGTATGCACAGCAGCTGCTCTACCGGATGATGCTGGACGAGTTTGTGCAGCTGCAGGTGCGTGAGGTTGTGTTTGCAGGATCAGCTGCAGGTGCGTGAGGTTGTGTTTGCAGGATCAGCTGCAGGTGCGGTACGGTACGATGGTTGTATAAGGTGTTACCCTGTAGCCCTGCTGCTTGCGCACCTGCTCTACCGCATGATGCTGGACGAGTTTGTGTAGCTGCAGGCATGGTGTGGATGAGTGCAGGTGCGGGTATTGCAGCTGCAGGCATGAGATCATTGTATGTCCTCCGAGTCTAGATTTTGATTTCTCTGTTTATTGCGCACCTGGCATGGCAGCAACTCCCTTTTTCACTCCCAGTTCTGCCCCACATGCTCTTACCCAGCCAATATCCTCCCTCTTCTGCTCACCTGCCACACAGGAAGTCCCCAAGACGGCAGACCACACATTCACACAGGTCCTCAAAGAACCTTTTATCTCTGGCTCATTCACACAGCACTGGTTCTGCCCAATGTGCATTCTTGATCTCCTCTGCCCCTCTCTTTTTGGTACATCAAGTCCCCAAGACAGCGGATCATGCCCCTCAGAGGACACTCTACCTCTCGCACATTCACATCGCAACGGTTCTGCCCCGCGTGCATTCTTCACCCCACCAGCAACGGTTCTGCCCCGCGTGCATTCTTCACCCCACCAGCAGCGGTTCTGCCTTGCGTGCATTCTTCACCCCACCAGCAGCGGTTCTGCCTTGCGTGCATTCTTCACCCCACCAGCAGCGGTTCTGCCTTGCGTGCATTCTTCACCCCACCAGCAGCGGTTCTGCCTTGCGTGCATTCTTCACCCCACCAGCAGCGGTTCTGGCACATCCACATCACGACTGTCCTGCCCCTTGCTGTCCTTCCCCTTGCTGTCCTTGTACCTCTGGTGCATTCCTGATTCCCCTTGCCACAATCTCCCCCTCTGCTGCTCCCCTGTATCTCGCCTCCACAGGAAGTCCCCAAGACGGCTGATCATGCCCCTCAGAGGACCTTCTACCTCTGGCGCATCCACATTGGGACGGTTCTGCCCCGCGTGCTCAACCACATGTGCCATGGCGCCTGCAACCTGCGGCTGAGGCTGGAGCATGAAATGCAGCAGGAGCAGGAGGTGAGCAGAAATGGAGAACTGGCTGTAACACGAGAGTTTGTTAGATGGTGCTTGCTTCTCCCCCGCGTGCTCAACCACATGTGCCATGGCGCCTGCAACCTTTGGTTACGGCTGGAGCACGAGATGCAGCAGGAGCAGGAGGTGGGAGAGGGAGGTAAAGGTTGTGCAGGAGTTTTGGTCTCTCAACACGACTAGAGCGGCATCAGTAGTAAGCTAGCGCATGGCAGCGACAGTTCTGCCCCGCGTGCTGAACCACATGTGCCATGGTGCTTGCGACCTGCGGCTGAGGCTGGAGCATGAAATGCAGCAGGAGCAGGAGGTGAGAGAGAAGGAGAGGGGAGTGTGTGACTTGGGATGGGAGAGTGCTTGATGGTTCTGTCCTGCCCCGCGTGCTGAACCTCATGTGCCACGGTGCCAAAGCCTGAGGCTGGAGCATGAAATGCAGCAGGAGCAGGAGGTGAGGGAGACGGCAGAGTGGTGGTAAACAAGCACCACAGCACAGGCGGTGCTGCCAGTTCCGTTGGAGGTGGCGGGGTCCCAGAGAAGGCAGTGGCATTGAAGTCAGGGCAGAGGAAGCAACTGGAGAGGATACGGCGAGCGCTGTTCTCTCGCCCATGTGTGTGTAACCCATGTCCGTACCACCCATGTGTGCTTCAACCCATGTGCGAATCCACCAGGTGCTGTCTCTCTTGGAGCAAATAGAACAGGCGCATGCAGCACACAGCACAGGTGGTGCTGCCAGTTCCGCTGGTGGTGATGGCGGGGTCCCAGAGAAGGCAGTGGCGTTGACGTCAGGGCAGAGGAAGCAGCTGGAGAGAAGCATGGGCTATTCGGCGAGTGCCTCTCACCCATGAACTAATAACCCATCATGTGCTTATAACCGGTGTGCTTATAACCTCCTGTGACTCCACCAGGTGCTCTCTCTCTTGGAGCAAATAGAACAGGCGCATGCAGCACACAGCACAGGTGGTGCTGCCAGTTCCGTTGGTGGTGGTGGTGGGGCGCCGGAGAAGGCAGTGGCGTTGACGTCAGGGCAGAGGAAGCAGCTGGAGAGGATTCGGCGAGTGCCTCTCACCCATGAACTAATAACCCATCATGTGCTTATAACCCGTGTGCTTATAACCTCCTGTGACTCCACCAGGTGCTCTCTCTCTTGGAGCAAATAGAACAGGCGCATGCAGCACACAGCACAGGTGGTGCTGCCAGTTCCGCTGGTGGTGGTGGTGGGGCGCCGGAGAAGGCAGTGGCGTTGACGTCAGGGCAGAGGAAGCAGCTGGAGAGGATCCGGCGAGTGGCGGCTGTTCTGGAGACCTCACTGCTGCGCCTTGACAATACCATTACGCTCTTCTCTGCGTTCTGACTTCCAGCCTGACTGGGAGCAGGGGGGTAAGGGAGAGCAGAGGGGAGCAGGTAGAGCAGGCAGCAGGCAGGAGTGCCATTCAGTGGTGGTGGTGGTGGTGCTGCTGGTGGTGACGTCAGGGCAGAGGAAGCAGCTGGAGAGGATAGGGCGAGTGGCGGCAGTGCTGGAGACCTCACTGCTGCGTCTTGACGATACAATCACACTTTTCTCTGCGTTCTAAGGTCCGGTCAGGGGTGCCATTCAGTGGTGGTGGTGCTGCTGGTGAAAGGAGGGCAGAGGAAGCAGCTGGAGAGTATTCGGGAGTGGCGGTGGTGCTACTCTAGCTGTTTGTTATTTTGCTTTAAGCCTAGCTTCACTACTGCTGCTCCCTGAGAATTATGTCCGAAGATCTGCTGGTGAAAGGAGGGCAGAGGAAGCAGCTGGAGAGGATACGGCGAGTGGTGGCAGTGCTGGAGACCTCATTGCTGCACCTTGACGATATGATTACGCTCTTCTCTGCGTTTTAAGGGTGGCTGGGAGATGGGCTGCAGGGCAATTCAACGCCTCATTTTCACATCAGTGCTGGAGACATCATTGCTGCGCCTTGACGATGCCATCGTCACTCTCTTCTCCACATTTTAAGGGTGGCTTGGAGATTTGGGAGTGGAGGGAGCAGGGATAGTAGGGCAGCAGTGCAGCACAAAGCCTCGCTAAATAGCCCTAGCTGCTGCGCGTTGCGATGCCATCACTCTGTTTTCTGCATTCAGGTTGGCTAACAGTACCAGTTCTGTAATTTTCTCCTTTGATTATGTTTGCCCGCCACCATTCTCCAGTACACCACACCACAACCGGTACCATAGATCTGGTTTCAGCATGCTCCTATGAGAAGCATGCTCCTGTCACAAAGCATGCTCCATTGCTCCTCTCATTCGATCCATCCCTAGTGTTTTACCTCTCCTGAGTAGATTGCATGAACTTGGCAAACACAAGTGAGACTGACAATGCAGCACAGCAGTGTCAAGACATAGTGGATTAATCTGGTCACCACTTGAAAGAAAACGGTTCCAAATACTCGACCTACGAGCACACAAAAGAAAGAAAACAACAAGTAAAAAATAACAAACAAAGAACACACACCAACACACACGACAACCTAATGACATAATGACAGTTTATCCCTCTCAAGAGCAGGTATGTCGACGAATGAAAGACAGCAGTCTTCCGACAAAGCAATTTTTCCCCGCACAAGAAACGGGAAGCATTGTATTGCACAAAATTTCACCACCGCCCCATGTCTCCACCATGGGTACTTGCTTTGCCCCCCAAATCCCCACCAATGTAGACAATCCATGGCTCGAATTGAAAACCATCTCGGGATCGAAATGAGGTGACTTTTGAGTCGACTCAAAGATCCCCATCAATGTAGATAATCCATGGCTCGAAAACCATCCCGGGATCAAAATGGCCCTGCCCTGCACTGCTTCTGCGCCAGCCAATGAGGAGACCAGTAAGAGGCGGAACCATCTGCGACCCGTGGCAGTTTGCTCGCAATTGCCACCACCCAAAACGTCTCCAGCCAATGAAGAAACAACAGCAACCGCCTGCGGTTCCTGCTTCTGCTTTAACCAAAACCACCAACATTCCTGCAGCTGGAAGAAGGTTCAACCACTGAAACTGATGCACCCGCGAGAAACTTCTGCCACCGAAATTTCTGAAGCTGCAACTGGTACTGAAAGCCCTGTAGCTGCAGCTGCACCTGCCTAATAAAACTGCTGCCATGCCACCAACGCCACTGCATCTCAGACAGCTGCTGCTGATTTCAAAAAGTTTCCGAAAAAAAACACTACCTATCTTCACAACCCCTGAGATCAAACTCTTCCCAATCAAACCACACCCACTGCCACTGCAACCGTAGCCGCTCCAAATGCAGCCATAGAATCAAAGCTCCAGATTCTATGATTCTGACCCTGCTGCCAAAAAAAACTGCTCTGGAGCCGATCATTACTGTCATATGCAGACCACACCATGACTTTTCTGCAGACCGATCACCGAATGCTGGCGCTATGACTGGAACACTGAAAGCTGGCGCTACCCTTAGCAGCGGCAGCTGCTGCTGGTGCTGCTGCTGGTGGTTCCGATGCTGCCAATTCCGGCTTCGTGCGCAAATGAATGGACGAATAAGGCTCAGAGTCAAAGCCAGCCAACCGCTCCATGGTCACGTAGATGAATGTGATTAACCGTCCCATCCACGTCAGCTTAGTCAGAAGAGTTGATTAAAAAGAGTTGATTATCCCAACTGTCCCTCCCTCTCTCCAGCATACCCGTAAAAAGTGGGCAGCTGTATCCGTCCTGTATCCGTCCCTCCTCAGAACGATCGAAAGACTTGAAAAAAACAAACAGGACAAAAACAAAATGTGCGAAGACAATCAGCAGGAAGGCCAGAGGGTGTGTTACTCCGCTGCTGCGACTGCAGCAGCAGCAGGAATAGGTGCCGAGACATAAGGTGCAGCAGAGACCGAGAGAGGGGCAGCAGAAGCGGGAGCGGAAGAAAGAGGAGCAGGAGGAGCAGCAACAGACAAGGCATGGGACGCGAGCTCTGCTGGTTTGAGGGACTGGGTGATGGGCAAGCGGGTGGAGAAGGCGAGATCAAGGAGAGAGATCGAGGGGCGGGATGGGGAGGAGAGCACGGGAGACACGGACGAGAGGAGTGGGCTGGAGGAGGGGGTGAAGACGTGGGGAGCAGCAGCAGGAGTGGTGGCGTTGGCAGCATTTGAATCATCAGCAGCAGGAGGAGCAGCAGCAGCAGCAGCAGCAACAGCAGGTAGTGGTGAGGAGGAGGAGGCTGCTTCTGCAGCTACACTGCCATCAGCAGCGGGTGCTGGGGACTTAGGAGGAGACTGTGAAAGCGAAGCAGGTGGGGGAGATGAGGTGGTGGTTCCAGCAGCGGTGGTGGACGGGGAAGCGACTGGCTTGGAGATGACGTGCAGCATTTCCCGCATGGCAGCCTGGAAAAGGGTGAGATGGGTGAGGAAGCGAGTGTGGGAGGGAGTGAGAGGGAGGAGGGAGGTACAGACGATTAGAAACGCGGTGGTGGCAGTGGAAAGGGTGGGGAGGAGAGGGGCTTGGAGATGACATGAGGGACTTCTTGCATGGTCGACAGGAAGAGGAAGAGATGGGTGTGAGGGAGCAAGTGATGGAGGGATATAAAACAATTAGAAGTGTGATTGAGAATGTACAACAAAATCGACGCGGAGGAATTTCCAACAATTGATATGTACATTCGCAGGCAGTGCATTTTCGACATCAACTGCCCATAAAACCAAGTAAGTATTTCACATGGTTGTGAGCATCAGCCCATGCAAGGTTAGTTTTTTCTAGGCAATTGATGTCGAAAATGCACTGCCTCTGAATGTACATCCCAAGTGTTGGAAACTCCCCCGTGTTGATTTTGTCTAACTGACTGCCAAACACACGCACACTCACATACCCCCCCTCTCCCCCCCCCCCCCCCTCCCCTCCCCCCCACACACACACAAACCTGCACATGCCACATGGCAAACAAGCCCGAGCAGATGTTGGCCTCGGGGCGGAGCGGGTCGTCAATCCAGAGAGCAGTTTCAACCGACAACACCACACACAAACCCACACACCAGCGCGCGCACACCCATGCTCATACCCCCCCCCCCCCCCCCCCCCCCCCCCCCGCACACACCTGCACGTGCCACATGGCAAACGAGCCTGAGCCGATGTTGGCACCGGGGCGGAGCGGGTCGTCAATCCAGAGAGCAGCCGGCGGCATGGAGGGGTCGCGCCAGAACACGCCGCCCGGCATGCCATTCAGACCCTGGGAGAAGTGGAGAATGATCAAGAATCAGAATGATCCAAGAATCAGAATGATCCAAGAATCAGAATGATCCAAGAATCAGAATGAGAAGCGAGAGGGTAGTCAGTCGCAGCAGCCGCAGCAGGAGGCATACAGGGGTCCCTCCAGAACACTCCCTTCTCACTTCCTCTCAGAATGAGCCCCAAGCGAGACCGGTCGATCTCCTGACCGAACAGGTCAAAGAAGCCTGTTGGCATCAGAAACTTTCTATTGTCAAAGAAGCCAATGTGTGTTCAGTTTTGAGGTGCATCAGAAACTTTCTATTGTCTCACTTGCCCTGAAAATGAGGCGCACGCAAAGAATGCCAATTTTCCTGACCGAGAAGTTCACACCAACGGATCTTCTCACCAACTATTTTACCAAATCAACTAATAAAACGTTTTACTTACCCTGAGAATGAGGCGCACGCGAGAGAGGTCAATCTCCTGACCAAACAGATGCAGGAAGCCGATAAGCAGCACTCCCAGGTTCGGCACAGGTACGGACTGCGCCGAACCAGGCAAGTCGTCCACCACTACCCCCTTCACAGGTCCGTCCGCTGCAGTCACTGACGCCACTTCAACCGCCTTGCTGCTGTTGCTATTCTCAGCAGCTGATGGTTTTTCTTTTGTGCCAGATGCAGCATCAGCATCTGAAGACCCGGCAGCAGCACCATCACCACCAGCAGCAGCAGCAGCAGCAGCAGCAGCAGCAGCAGCAGCAGCAGCAGCAGCAGCAGTAGTGGCGTCATCGCCGCCCGAAGCAGCAGCTGTGGCAGTGGTAACACTATCTGAAGCAGTCACATTTTCCGCTGAAGCAGCAGCAGCAGCATCAGCATCATTATCAGCAGCAGCAGCATCACCACTGGCTTGCTCAACCTTGGAGTCTGCAGACTTGGATCCTGGTGACTTGGTTGCTGCCTCAGCAGGAGCAGTAGTAGCAGGAGGGGGGGACATGCCACATGCGACAGGAGCTCTCTGCAGGGATGGGAAGCAAAGGAGAGAACAGACACACAGAAGTGTTGAGCACCAGACTTCAGCAGCATCAGCACCACCAGCGGCATTGCCATTAGGTTGCTCAACCTTAGAATCTGCAAACTTGGATCCTGGTGACTTGGCTGCTGCCTCAGCAGGAGCAGCAGCAGGAGGGTGAAACATGCCACATGCGACAGGGGCTCTCTGGAGGGATAAAGGAGGAGGCAGGACCACACCAGGGGTGGTGAGGATACAACAGGGGTTGGGAACTCACCACAGCGCACAAAAAGGAGAACATATCTCCGTAGAAAACAGACACCATAGTCAAGAAACCCGAATTGTGGGTTGCTCAAAGAATGTACATCGAATCGAGTTGAACGACGCCAGGGAGCAGGGTAGAAGGAGGCTCAGGAAACACACATTGAGGTAAACGGCGAGCATCATAGTCAGAGAGAAGGATCATTCGAGGATGCTCGTCGAGGAACAACGACAGTCATAGTCCTTCGAATACAAAGGACCATTCGAAGGATTCAAAGGCGGCCAAAGTGCGTACCTCCAGGTAAAAGACGAGCATCATGGTGAGGGAGAAGGACCCGAGCCCGCCAGTGTAGACATCCTTGAGACCCCGGTGGTGCAGGTAGGACTTCATCAGCAGCACCTGGAGAGTGGAAAGAGGACAAACGGGAGGGAGAAAGGAGTGGAAAGCAGGCAGGGGGGTGGAAATAGGCACGCAAAGGAATCACAAGGCAGGCCAGAGTGCAGACATCCTTGATGCTGGCCAGCTTTTGAGAAACTTCAAAATCGGCTGAATGCCGTTGCACAGGGAGGAGCTGAGCCCGCCAGTGTAGAAGTTTTTTAGTCCTCGGTGGTGCAGGTAGGACAGGGTAAATGGAATCAACACAAGGGGGGCTGGGCTGGGCTGGGCGGGATGGATGGATGGATGCATTCACACGTGTTTTGAGTCGGCTCAGAACAAGGAGATCAACCTGTAGACGACCTTGAGGCCTTGTTGGTGTGGCAGGACTAGAACAGTAACCTGTCATTCCAACCCCTCCAAGAAAGGCAAACTAGGGGGGCGAGAGCGGGCATTTTCTTGAGGCGTTCAATCACGAGCTCCCTGGCGGCCGACCCGTTGTGATGTCCATCTGAACCACTCATTCCTCGTGCACTCACTCTCACCAGGGAAACCAGCCCAGCCCATTCACTCACCACGGGGGCGAGAGCCGGCATTTTCCTGAGGCGTTCAATCACGAGCTCTCTGGCGACCGACCCGTTGCGAGCTGCAGCTGCCTCGTCCAGCTTCCCCGCCAGCACCCTGCTGGCCGCATCCCCCACCTCCATGCCCTTGGGGCGCGTCAGGGAGAACGTACTGTCCATCCGAACCCCTTACCTTACCTCTTCCCCCCCGCCGCCCTGGCCTCGGCCCTCGGACCCAGCCCCGGCCCCGGCCCTGGCCCCCTTCAAGCAAGACAAACTAGACTCACCAGGGAAACCCAGCCCTTAGATCACCAGGGGGGCGAGGGCGGGCATCTTTTTGAGGCGTTCAATCACGAGCTCTCTGGCGGCCGACCCGTTGTGAGCCGCAGCCGCCTCGTCCAGCTTCCCCGCCAGCACCCTGCTGGCCGCATCCCCCACCTCCATGCCCTTGGGGCGCGTCAGGGAGAACGTACTGTCCATCCGAACCCCCATTACCTTACCTGTCCCCGCCCCGCCCTGCCCCGCCCGTGGCCCTGGCCCCCTTGAAGCAAGACAAACTAGACTCACCAGGGGGGCGAGGGCGGGCATTTTCTTGAGGCGTTCAATCACGAGCTCTCTGGCGGCCGACCCGTTGTGAGCCGCAGCAGCCTCGTCCAGCTTCCCCGCCAGCACCCTGCTGGCCGCATCCCCCACCTCCATGCCCTTGGGGCGCGACAGGGAGAACGTAATGTCCATCCGAACCCCCCTTACCTGTGAGACCTCCTACCCCCGTCCCCAGCCCGGCCCCAGCCCCGACCCCTGGCCCCGGCCAAGGCCCCGGCCCGGTCCCCGGGCCCGGCCCCCTTCAAGCAAGGCAGACTACACTCACCAGGGGGGCGAGGGCGGGCATCTTCTTGAGCCGCTCAATAACCAGCTCCCTGGCCGCTGATCCGTTGTGAGCCGCAGCAGCCTCGTCCAGCTTCCCCGCCAGCACCCTGCTGGCAGCATCAGACACCTCCATGGCCTTGGGCCGCGACAGGGAGAACGTTATGTCCATCCGAACCACTCCCTGCACGCTCGGCCCCACCAGGTCCGACGCCGAAGCAGACGGCTTCAGCGCCGTGGCTGCCGAACCTGCTGCTGCCGCCGCTGTGCCGTTTGCCTCTCCTGCTTCGCTCTCTCCCACCACCGACGCGCCACCGCTCCCCTCTGTGGAACCAGAAGAGCCTGAAGACCCAGCGCCCCGCTCAGGAGTCGATGGGGCCTTCTCCTTCTCTTCCTCTGCTCCTTCGGCGGAAGCGGGCGGCAGCGGGCGGCACTTAAGTTTGATGACGGGGATGCGGGCGGTTTCAATGGTGTGCAGGCTCTCGCACCACGGCTGCTTCTTCAGTGCAGCTGCCAGCTGCCTGATGAGCGGTGCACTGATGCGCGCACCTGGGAAGCGAGGGAGGAGGGGGAGAGGGGGGAGATGAGGGAGAGGAGGGAAGGAGAAGAAAGTGGGCTTGATGTTTAAGAAGCACCACCACCAGCGGCAGCACCAGAAGCAGCAGCAGCACCAGCAGCAGCAGCAGGAGGATTCGATGGTGTGCAGGCTCTCGCACCACGGCTGCTTCTTCAGTGCTGCCGCCAGCTGCCAGATGAGCAAAGCGCTGATGCGCACACCTGGGAAGGAGCGCGAAGAGGGAGATGGGGGAGAGGAGGGAAAGAGAAGAAGATGGGCTTGATGTTTAAGAAGCACCACCAGCAGCAGCAGCAGCACCAGAAGCAGCAGCACCGCCAGCAGCGGCAGCACCAGAAGCAGCAGCACCACCAGCAGCAGCAGGCGGGTTCAATGGTGTGCGTGAGAGCATTTAAGAGACTGTTATACCCACGTGATGCAGTTCCTGTTGCAAGAACCTTATACGTCCACCCTAGGGCCTGATGCACGCACGCACCGGACAGGCTGGGGCGCTCTGGTAGGTTAGCGGTTGGTGGAGGTGACTCTTGAGTCAACTCAACTTTCAAGGCGCCTCAAAAATCAACTAATATATCGGTCCATTCACCTCTTGCACTTGGCAGGCTCATGCACGCACGCACCTGACAGGCCGGCGAGCCAGCAATTGAGACGAGTGCCCTTTGAGTCGACTCAAAAGTCGGTACATTCACCTCGTACATTCACTTGCAAGCACTTGACAGGCTCATGCACGCACACACCTGACAGGGTCGCGAGCTCCGGTAGGTCTACAATTGGAATGCGTGTTTTTCTGACTCTGGTGCCCTTTGAGTCAAGTCAGTACATTCACCTCGACTCATAAGTCAACTCAAAAGTCAAACACCTAAAGCCTCATGAATGCACACACCTGACAGGGTCGCGAGCTCTGGTAGGTCAGCGGGTGGAGGAGGTGCGTTAATCACTGCCACGTCAACATCGCTGTGAGCGAGGGCAAGGCCAGTGGCGAATGAACCAAACACCTGAGGGAAGAAGTGGGATGGGGGATAGAGAGGAAGTGGGTTGGGTGAAGGGGGGGGGGTTGCGTGAATCACTGCCATGTCAACGTCGCTGTGAGCGAGGGCAAGGCCAGTGGCGAATGAACCAAACACCTGAAAGAATGGGAGTGAATGGGAGGGCGGATAGAGAAGTAGGGAGCAGGAGTGGGAGTGGAAGGGGTTTTTGGAGGGGTGGGGAAGAGGGGGGAGAAGGGAGAAAGGGGTTGCGTTGATCACTGGCACATCAACATTGCTGTGAGCGAGGGCAAGCCCATGGCGAAGGAGCCAAACACCCGAGGGAATGGGCAAAACCGGGAGAGCAACTAGAGAGGAGGGAAACTGGAATGGAACTGGAGGATGTTTTTTGAGGGGTTTGGGGGGTTGGGGTGCACGAATCACTGTCACATCAACATCAATGTGAGCACACAGCAAGGCCACCGCCATAAGTCACAATAAGCGTCTCGGCCAATATTCAGCACGACTACTCACCTCAACGTCAGCTCCTTCCCAAAGCGACCTGAGACCGTGCGCCTGACACAGGCCACTGCCTGCTCCGCGCTGACCCACGCCTCCCTGGGCGGCCTTTCCAAAGCACAGGCATAATAACCCTAGTCTCCTAGACAGCAAGCAAAGCCCTAAACTCACCTCCACATCAGCTCCCTCCCACAGCGATCGCACAGTCCGCCTGACACACGCCACAGCCTGCTCCGCGCTGACCCTTAGACAGACCAGGGCACACACAAACAGCTCCCTAGAGGGTGAAGCCTGGAACTCACGTCCACATCGGCTCCCTCCCACAGGGATCGCACAGTCCGCCTCACACACGCCACAGCCTGCTTCGCACTGACCCTTAGAAACAGACCAGGGCACACACAAACAGCTCGCTAGAGGGTAAAGCCTGGAACTCACCTCCACATCAGCTCCCTCCCAGAGGGATCTAACAGTGCGCCTCACACACGCCACAGCCTGCTCCGCACTGACAGACCAGGGCACACACAAGCAGCCCCCTTGTGGGTAAAGCTTGGAGCTCACCTCCACATCGGCTCCTTCCCCCAGTGACCGCACTGTCCGTCTCACACACGCCACAGCCTGCTCCGCGCTGACCCGCGCCTCCCTGGGCGGCCGCACCTCCTCTGCATACGCCAGCACCTCCCCATGCAGCGCCCACCACACACCAGAACTCAATTCCACACGCAATCAGGCACAGCAACTCACCTCAACATCGGCTCCTTCCCACAGCGATCTGACCGTCCTCCTCACACACGCCACTGCCTGCTCCGCGCTGACCCGCGCCTCCCTGGGCGGCCGCACCTCCTCTGCATACGCCAGCACCTCCCCATGCAGCGCCGCCGCGTTTTGCAGCAGCGCAGCTGGTGGCACCGGGAACGCCGGGAACCCTGCGATCGGCACCGCTAGCATGCGCGGGTGCAGGTGCGGGAGCGGGTGCGGGTGGGGGTGTGGATGGGCGCGGGCGTGTGCGTGAGGGTTGGTGTGCGCGTGGAGGGGGGGTTGGCCTGCCGCGTGAGTGAGTGGGGTGAAGGGGAGAGGGTGGTAGAGAGAGGAGGGAGGAGCGCCTCCAGGGAGGACCCCTGCAGCTCCTGTATGGAAAGGGGGGCCTGGAATAACGGATCCTGCTGCTGCAGCTGCTGCTGCTCCTGCTGCTGCTGGAATAACGCCTCGACCTTGCCCTGCTGCTGCAGGCACAGCAGCACCAGCAGCACCAGCCACAGCAGCAGCGGAACCAACGCCACTCAAAGAAGCTGCTGCAGCCGCCGCCGCAGTAGCAGCTGCAGAAGCACCAGCAGCAACGACGCCACCTCCAGCCTGCCTCACCCCCCCTGCTGCTCCTGCCCCTGTTGCTGCTGCCCCAGCAGCAGCTGCCACTCCGCCGTGCCGATACCCGCCCCCTCTGCCCCCCACAGCGCCAGCAGCAGCGCTGCTTCCCCCAGGCGCAGCCCCCCCCTGGCGTTGCTGGTACCTCATAGGTCTCCCGTGCTGATTCCCCTGCTGGTGCTGGTGCTGATGCTGGTGGTGCTGGTGGTGCTGGTGGTGCGGTTGGTGCAGCTGCTGCTGCTGCCGTTGCATGTGCAGAATCGGCTGCCCCGCGCCTGCCGCCGCCGCAGCAGCAGCGGAAGCAGCGTGGGTAGGAGCTGAGGCGGTGTGCTGATGTGGAGAGGCCGCAGATGACGCACCTGATGCAGATGCACCAGTGGAAGCTCCAGGGGATACGCCAGTAGAACCGCTACTCTTCCCCCCCTGCTGCTGCTGCTGGTGCTGGTGATGATGGTGGTGGTTGTGATGCTGATTCTGCCGCTGTGGCTGAGTCGAACCCCTAGCAGAAACTTTAGACCCCGCTCCTCCTCCTCCCCCTCCACCACCACTGCTCTTCTTAGCACCACCCTCACTCTCACCCCCCTGGGTCTTCCCCTTCGGCCCCCCCGTCCCACCCTCCCCGGGTTTCTCACACCCTCCTTCCTTCTCCACCCCCTCTTCCTTATCCCCTGTCTTGCCACTCTCAACCTTCCTCCCGTCCTTCCCCTTCTCCCCAGCACCAGCCTGCTCTCCAGGCTTCCCTGCCTGCTTTCCCCCCCTACCCTGCTGCCCCTGCTGCTGTCTCTGCCCGTCCTGCTTCCCACTGGCGCCATGAGACTGCGACTGCGACCCCTGGTGCTTCTGGCTTCTCCCTTCAGCAGACCCAGCGCCACCGCCTGCCTGGCCTGTGCTTCCCTGCCCCGCCCCGCTGTCGCCCAGACGCTTCAGTATCGCCGCGTCGTTCCCCTGCCACGCCGGGCGCCGGGACCTCGCCGGCTGTGGTGCCGCTGCCAGCGGTTTCCCATCCGCGGCTGTAGCAGCAGCAGCTGCGTCGCTCGCGGCTGTAGCAGCGCCAGCGCCGGCAGAGGCACCTGCTGCCTGCCCGTCCTCCCCACCAGAGCGTGCCGCTACAGCTGTGGTAGAAGCAGCACTGCCTGCAGCACCACCCGTTGCACCAGCAGCAGCCCCCACACCAGCAATAGTTGCACCCCCTGCGGTCCTATCCGCCCCTTTGCCCGCCCCCTTCTTTCCCCCGCCCTTACCTTCCTTGCCCCCTCCTGCAGCCGGCGCCCCCCTCTTCACCCACACACCCGCGGATTTCTCCTCCCCACTCGCCCTCCGCCCCCCCCTTCCGCCCGCCCCCGCAGCAGCTCCCGCCGCCCCCCCTGCTCCGCCCCTCCCTTGCGCCTTCTCCTTGGGTCCGCTAGACACTTTAATCCACCCCTCCTCCTCCTCGTCACCAGCCTTCTCCCCGCTCGCACTCGGGGCTTTAGCCGCTGGTTTACCCTCTTTTGGAGGGCTACTTGAGCGGGTTTCCCCTGGCGCTGGTACTGTTGCTCCTGCCACAGAAGCCGGTACGTCAGTGCTAGCAGAAGCGCTAGCTGAGTCCGAGCGGGGTTCTTCCTTGCTCGCCTCCGCCACCCCTGCTGCGCCTGCTCCGCCTGCCACTCCCCCCGCCCCTCCGCCAGTCTCTCCCGCGCCTCCCTCTGAGGGCACTCCCGCTGCGCCCTCCGCGCCTTCAGGACTTCCCCCAGCAGCCGCGCCTTCCTCCGCCTTCCCCAGTAAAACCGCAGCAAATGACACATTGGCGCTACGCACCGACCACACACTCCCCCCACCTCCCGCCCCACCTGCGCCCCCCTCCCCCGCAGCCTTCCCCGGACTCCCGCCTCTCCCCGCCCTCTCCGCGTCTGCCTCCCCCGCTTTTTCCCCCTCCGCCCCTTGCTCGGAAGAGGAGGACTCTTCGCTCCGCCTATCCTCCGTATGGAGAACCCCGTTACCGTTACACTCCGCCTCGTGCTCCCCCCCGCCCGCGGACGACCGCTCCTCGCTGCTGCTTCCCCCCGTGGTGCTCAAATCGGGGGAAACCAGTCCGCTCCCGCTACTTCCGCTTCCAGACGACTTGCTGCAGCCGTCCGCCTCCCCCTGCCGCCACCGCCCTGCGGAATCCGCGCGGCCTCCGCTGTCCTTTCCGCCAGCTGCGGGAGGCGCGGGCGGCGGCGGCGGAACTGCTGCTGCCCCTGCTGCGCCGCCGCCACCCCCTCGCCCTGCGCCCACCCCTCCTGCTCCCCCTCCGCCCCCCCCAGCATGCCCCACGCCATTGCCCCCTTGGTTCTGCGCGGAGCGCCAATGCGCCCCCTGATGCGGGTGCCCGTGCTTCTTCCCGCGGAAATGCCCCCCACCGCCGCCAGAATAACCGCCGCGCATACCCCTGCCCTTGGGTTTGACCTTCTCCCACTGCCCGCCCTCCTCGTCCCCCTGCTGCTTCTTCTCCCCCTTGCCTTCTTCCCCTTCCAGCAACCCAAAGACTCTCAGCAAGTTGTTGGCCTGCACGAGGAACCAAGAGGGAAAAAGGCACGTGTGAAAGGTTGGGTTTTGAGACGTTTCAAAACTCCACAAACCAAAGACCCGCAGCAAGTTGTTGGCCTGCACGAAGAACCAAGAGGGAAAAAGGCACGTGTGAAGGTTGGGTTTTGAGACGTTTCAAAGCTCAACAAACCAAAGACTCTCAGCAAGTTGTTGGCCTGCACGAGGAACCAAGAGGGAAGAGGGAAACGCAAAAAAAAAAAAAAGTTTGTGTTGTTGTATTTCCCGGCCCCTTCAGAAGGAAGGGGGAGCGCTGCTGCTTTCCCCCGCCCTTGAGCTAGAACTTGTCTTACTGCCCGCCCTCCTCGTCCCCCTCCTGCTGCTGCTGCTGCTGCTGCTGCTGCGGCTGCTGCTGCTGCTGCTGCTGCTGCGGCTGCTGCTGTTGCGGCTGCCTTTCACCTTTCCCCCAATCCAGCAGACCAGAAATCCGAAAAAGGATATTCGCCTGTAGGAGGAATGAAAATAAACCCTTCTAGACTTTTCATAAGGGCATCTTACCTTCGCGTTAAGAGACGCCTCAACTCCCCAGGCCACGCTACCTCCAAGCCACCATGCCTTAACGCAATCACAAAGAAAACTTCAACCAGCAACCAAGCAAAAACGTTCTAGAAGCAATCATCCCTTGCCAGGAAGGGATGATCTTGCATTCACTCCTAAAAAAAAATTACCTCGAAACGTAGCTCGGAACGTTCCTCCGAAAGAAGGAGCGTTCTTTAGCATGAAAGAAGGTATCCGCTCTGGTGCATTGGTACAACTTCTTGTGTGTTGACTTATTAATCAGGATTTTTGCATTTACAATTCCCATAGATTGTACCTGATTTTTGCGTACGCCCCCCTCACAGAACGTGTCTCGTCACGAAAAAGCGTTCTAGCACGAGAGAAGAACATACCCGTCCTACTGCATTGGTACAGAGCCTTTTCAAGTTGACTCAAAAGGCATGTTCTTGCAGCCAACCCTCTAAAACGAAGTACCTCAAAGGGAGAGTAAGTACAGCAGAATCCGTATCCCTACGAACGCATCTGTCCTACTGCAGTAGTACAGGTGTCAACTCAAAAGCTATAATCTTGCATTGCATGGGATCCACCCACCCCTTTCAAAGAACGTGCATCAGGCGGAGACTGGGTATAGCCAGCAATGATTTCGAACCGCACAAGGCTACTGTGTATTGTGCCTTGGCAAGGCATGTTCTTGCATTGCATCCATCCACACCCACGTCCTTCAAAGAACGTGCATCAGGCGGAGACTGGCTATAGCCAGCAATGATTTCGAACCGCACAAGGCTACTGTGTATTGTGCCTTGGCAAGGCATGCTCTTGCATTGCATCCATCCACACCCACGTCCTTCACAGAACGTGCATCAGGCGGAGACTGGCTATAACCAGCAAGCAATGTTTTCGAACCACACAAGGGTGACTTGGCAAGGCTCGCAGCAACACCTGGTGACCTCTAGTCTAGATGGGGCGGCGTCTGACTGTGCGAGGCGGCGTCTGACTGTGCTAACGAATGACCTCGTATTTTGAGCCATGAACACAAGTCACGTGGTGAGGGCATCTCTAGATGAAGCGGCGACTGACTGTCTGTGCCTGGAAATGACCTGGTGAACTGAGATAAAAAGAGGTGACTTTTGAGTCGACTCAAAAGTCACCTCGCAACGTGGTGAGGGTATCCCTAGATGAAGCGACGACAGACTGTGCCTGGAAATGACCTGGTGACTTAAGATAAAAAGAGAGCGTAACTCGGCGAGGGGGAGCACGAGTCGTACCGTGGTGAGGGCAGCTCTGAAGGAGGTGGTGACTGGCTATGCGTTCGAATGGCCAGGTTATTCAAATCATTACCAAACGTAACTCGGCCGATGGGAGCTAGAGTCAAAGCTTGGGTCGTGCAGTGATACAGGACCGAAGGAACTTGACTTGGTGATTGCACCTCTAGGTGAGGTAGTGAGTACTTCTAAAACCCTGCAGACCTCGAAAAAAAGGAGATCTTGAGCCGAAGATTGGATCCGTTCGAGTAGTGCAAGCGCTGGTAACTGTAGCTCCAGGTGAGCTGGTTCGTTCAGCTAACTCTGACCCAACAGCACCTCGGGAAGAGAAAGTTCGAGACGTGACTTGGGCCCGTCACAGTGATACAGGCAAAAACCAACGGAATTGAACTTGGGTATCGCACATCTAAGTGGGTTAGTGAAGTGTGACCCTACACACCTCGAAAAGAGAGAGCTCGCGTCCAAGTCTGGCCTCGTCTGATTGGTACAGGCACCGGCGGAACTTGAGTTGTTGGATGCACCCCTAGATGACCAACGCACCTCATCAAGAAAGAGCGATCGAGTCAATACTTGGATCCGTCGCAATGGCGTTGGCACCAGTGATGAGTAAAGCTCTATGACATGGTTCGTTCGACTTGTTAGAACCTCGGTTCGTACCTCGGTCAGAGAGAGCTCGCGTCAAAGACTGGCCTCGTCGGATTGGTACAGGCACCAGCAGAACTTGACTTGTTGGATGGACCCCTAAATGACCAACGCACCTCATCAGGTAAGAGCTCGAGTCAATACTTGGATCCATCGCAATGGCGTAGGCACCAGTGATGAGTAAAGCTCTATGCCTTGGTTCGTTCGACTTGCTAGAACATCGGTTCTTACCTCGGTCAGGAAGAACTCGAGTCAATACTTGGATCCGTCGCGGTGGTATGGTGGCATTGATGAGTAAAGCTCTATACTTGGTTCGTTCTACTTGCTAGAACCTCGGTTCGCACCTCGGTCAGGGAGAGCTCGAGGCGGAACTTGGGCCCGTCATCGCGATACAGGAAAACGGCAAAACTGATCTTGGTCATTTCACCTCTGAATGAATAATTTCCTACACCTTTTTTCCATTCTTTTTCACAGAAAAGGAAATGGTGTAAGCAGCGACCGTATAACCCAGCGTACCTCGGTCAAAGAGAGCTCGAGGCGGAACTTGGGCCCGTCGTAGTGATACAGGAACCGACGGAACTTGGTCTCGTCCAGCGGTGACCGTTGCTCCCGCAGACGAACCCTAACCTGCATGACGCACAAAACGGAAGGTGGAAGACCAAGGGGATAGCCCGCTTGCCAATGCTCCATGAGAAAAGAAAGTGACAGTACAGTTTCAAGAACAGCAACACAAATTCACGCTAAGAAAATCATTTACCAAACAAACAAATACAAAAAAGGGAGGGGGGGGGGGGGGGGGGGGGGGGGGGGAAGGGGGGGGGAAGGGGGGGGGAAGGTGGGGGGGATTCGGGGGGTGTTGGGGGGGTGGAGGGGTGAGGGGAAAGGGGAGAAGGAGAAGGAGGATTCAACAGTCTGAAGCACAAGGTGAACCTTACTTGTGATGGAAATTTCGATAACGACGGGTCTAGGTTTAGGCCACCTTCGCTTGATGCCTATAATGGTTTGGGTGACGAAACGGCAAGAAGAGGAAGGAGTAGCGAAACAAGTACACAGAAATCAAGCGTGAGGGGACGGAGTTAGAGAGAGAAAGGGAGGCAATCTGATGCTTCGCCGGTTCTCAGAACGCTAGCTATGAGCTATTCTGCACCTTAGCGGTCTCTACGTCACAACCATTTACAGTACAGCAGGAAAAGTACACACTTCCATTGATCAAATGCAGCGTTCTTCTGTTCTAAACAACTCTTTGGCCACCAAGGGATTCTGATAACAAACCTCGAAGACGCCGTGTAAATGGTGAGTGGTGTAGTTGTAGAGAAACAGCGGCATTCCCGGTTGAATCCCCCGAACCGACTCGTGATACTTCTGCGGTAAGCCTGTAAGCAAGACACATAGGAGATCGAAAAACAGCGTGCGATAATGAATCCTCGTATCACAAAACTGCACTTGTTTCGCCTCGAACAGGATCGAACGGAGATCTAGAAACGAAGGTCAACATGGGAATGGCACATATAGTTTATCAGTCACTGACTGAATACGAGCCCCTCGACAGTTTGAAAAAGACACGGAAGAAAAAAACTACAACGAGACTTTCCCACTTGAGTAAAAAAAAAACAAAAAACAAAACCGGAAGATGCGCATTAACTTCAAGAACGTCGTTGAAACTGCGATGACGTGAGCACTGTGAACGACGTAATTACGACGCCGACTCAGAAGTCACTTCGTCAAAGCTGCGATAAAGCGAGCAACGCGAACGATACGACGGGAACCAATGCTGAAAAGGGCATCCAATGTTCGACAGCGATCGAGGGGTAAACGAACATCTATTCCTCTTATCAGGTGCCTTAGTTGCCATCAAAAGCTTTTGGCTGTGAACGATTTGCCTGACGCCGATCTACGGCTCGATAGGCGTATCGCGTATCAATCACCGAGAGACGCAAACCTGTCGATCGCCGACAGTTGTAAACCTGTCAATCGCCACGTCACGGCCTTCATCGCTTCGTTGTTGCACACGAACACGTAAACTGCCAGCAGCGTTGAAGCCACCCCAAAAGCATCACCAAGGAGAAGAGATACCCGTCGATCGGCAAGAAACGGGCTGACTTTTGAGTCGACTCAAAAGTCAGCTCGAATACGTCACCCGTCAGCTGCGTTGAAGTCACCCCAAAAGCATCACCAAGGAGAAGAGATACCCGTCGATCGGCAAGAAACGGCTCACCGAAAAGCTCGCGTTTAATGTCATCCTCCATGGTTTCATTGTTGCACACGAATATATAACCCGCAAGAGGGTCCTCCAACGGGGGAACGTCCGTCGACGGAACGGCAGACTTCCGATCGTGAAACCCCTCCTGCTGCCGGTACGTCTTTAAGTTGGCCATTTCAAATGGCCTGGCGGAGGGCCTGGACGGCCCAGCGCCTTAACCTAAGACTGCTTCACAAACTAAAAACTAACGGAGATTAATTTGGCGCTTCCGTTACAGGCCGACTCGACCTGGCCGTCCAACTAAACCCCGATAATGGAGGATGCAACGATAAGGGTTCAGACGTAGCAGACAGATGAACGAGAGAGATCGAGACGCCGATGGCAGTCTTGTGGGAGTAAAGACCGGGAAAGTAAGCTACTCCTGCCTTGACACACACTCCAGAAGATACAGAAGCTGCTCCGAACGCCCTAAACCAGAACCTGTTGGTGTGTGAACGAGCAGGACGGAATTCCGCGACAAAGGGAGGAGAACTGGGGGGTTTGGGTTGGGGAGAACGAGACGAGGTAGTAAGCATGGCTTGAGGTGAAGGTGTCGGCTCAACCGTTTTGTTCTCCCCTGTAACTCGCAGAAGCGCTTTGAAGGACTCATTAATCCGCTTAAACCGCAAACAAATATCTTTGCAAGGCCTTGTTCAATAAGGGGGATGGTTTGGGAGGGGGGTGAGGCATGCGGGAGGGCGTGATGGAATGGAATGGGATGGAAGCGAAGCGCAGTGTGCGAAGCGAAGTCGCTGTGCGACGTAAACGATATCAGATGCGATGTCCTTGTGATGGCTGACCTGCGTGCCTGTCGCAGAGCAACCATATCGGCCAGCCACAAACAGCTGCGGCGATGATGGGTGCGACTGGCGGTTCGTGAAATTCAGGGTGCTGTGCTGGGGACTGTGGCGATGACGAGCCGTCCATCGCACATGCCTCGCCTGGTCTGGCGACGCTTGCGAAATCTGGGATGATGTACCTGAGTGACCAGGTGGATTTCTCGAAGTCTGAACACCAATCATATGCGAGAAGCGGCCTTCCGTGGAGAAAGCTGCGGATAGGGCCGTGGATTCTTCTGGCTCTTGTGTACCTTGGCAGCCAGCCATCTGTGCCCCCGCAAGCAACTCCAGCACTTGAGGAACAATTTCTCGGAACAAATTGCCATAACTTCTGCGGCGCGCTTTGTGCGATATGAAGTGATAACTTCAACGAAAACATTAAATTGGTAAGGTATTGCTAAAAAATCGTAACATGAAAAAGCCACCCTTTTTTGGAGGGGTATGAGACATGATAGTGTTAACATAATCTCAGAACCTACTATACAGAGAGCAATACTGCTGGAACTCATAAAAAAACACTCTATTTGTTTTTTTTTTTTTTTTGGAAATTCAATCTCGGCCTCCTCCACTGGATGCCAGCTCTTGCCATGAGCTCTAAGCTCATGCAAAGCTCATAACCAAGCTTTTGTAGTCCATTTCTCATGATAGAACAGTCATTCACACCATGTGTCTCGCCATAGTGTGTCTGAAAAAGAAAGGGAATGGAGAAAGAAAGGGAGAAGGAAAATGAAACTCCCAAAAAGAACCCAAATGCAACACACATAAAACCCCCCCTCAAGTTACCCAATCAAAACGTCCAGTCAAGACACCCCATCAAGACCCATCCCACGCCCCATCCCCTCCCCCCCCCTCAATCACATCAACGTATCGACCATGTACGGGGCCTCCACCCAGAGAGCCCCGCCTTCCACATCGACATCGTCCCTCTCCTGATCCGCCAAATCTGTTGGAAACAATAAGTCTTAGAGCGCTTCTGTCGTGTCAAAACCCAAGACACTAGCGAAGCAATCCGAATCGAAACATCGAGTCAAACCTCGGAGGTTAGGGTAACCGCCTGGAGGTTACGAGAAAGTCAAAGGTCAGCGACCTTTGACTCGACAATTACAGCGCGACAGTTAAGGACACACAACTGACTCGTTACAGAGCAGTTGCCCGAGTCGCACTGTATCGAATCGCAACAGCAATACAGTTATCTATCTATTCGTATTCCCTGTACCCTTATATAAGACCTTGTATTTGCTTGTTTAATTTAATCTACTTTGCTCTCACACACCAGTGCAAGGTCGGTTCACAAGTTTCATTAAACGCTTCCGCTATTACAAGTTTCCTACCCAGAGTTATCCCCTGCAAAGATCCTTAAGGGCCTTCTCAGCCCAACATGGTATGAGAGCAGACAGGGGAAACTCTAAACTTTTTATATTACAAGACATGGCAACAAACAAGGAAAGGAGCTCCCCTAATGGCTCCTCGGGCACTACTCCTACTCCACCACCAGCCTCTGGCCTGCAGACAGAGGAAGGCACAGCAGCAAGACCAAAGGGAACGTCAACCGAGACCCCCACGAATCACCCTTCTGACTTCGACCAGAGCATGATGGAGAAATTCTTCTCCTTCATGTCCTTCTACGAGCAACAACAGCAGTCGGGACCTGCACAGACACACAACAGCAACAACGGAGCGACACCCATGAGCCTTGATGGGTCGTCATATGCGCGAGGGAATCAACAGCAGCAACCCACCTTCGCCCCGTACGAGCGCGGGTCGATCAGCTTCCTGCCTCAACCTTCACCTGCGCAAGACAAACCAATGGACGCGTTACAAGTTCAGTCGCAATTCGCGCATGTTTTGAAATTACAAACGTCAAGACCTTTCGACGGAAAGGACTTCTTCACCTGGTCATTTGAATTCGAGCTAATGATGGAGGGCGCGCAGATACTCGGCTTCTTCGACGGATCCCTGCAGTATCCAGCAAACGGCACACAGTATGAGAAGCAGCAGTATACGTATCAATCGATGATGGCGTATACTATTCTACTGAGAAACATCACACCAACCCAGCAGCAGAACATTCGCTCTTACCGGAACTTCGGCAACTCGGCGGAACTTGCGTACGACCATCTGAAGAACCTGTATCAGGCAACAGACAGTGTAAACCAGAGCAGGTTAATGGCGCAGTTGACAACAGTTGAAATGAAACCAGGAGAAAAGGGGTTGGCGTATATCAGCCGATGTCGCGAATTGCGCGACAAGCTTTTTCGATGCGGAGGATCAATCTCTGAAGACGCCTTCGTAACAGTCGTCATCAGTGGCCTCGGTCCTCAGTGGCGCGCCACCAAAGCAATTCTTCGAGCACACGGGAGGATCTCCGAAGCGGCACTCTGCGCAGAAATCCACGCCGAGCAGCAGGATATGGACATGCAAGAAGAAAGGCACAAGAAAAGGGCATTAGCACCGGAGTTCGCTTTCCACACTCAGCGACGACACAACAACTACAACAACCGACAGCAGCAGCCGAAGTTAGTACCTCCGTTTTGTCACATCTGGAAAACATCAGGACACCCCCGCACGCATTGCCCGTCTCGTCAGACAACACCACAGCGACAACTGCGGCCTTCAAGCTCACAAGTTGCTTCAACGCAAGCAAGTCCGACAACAACGATTCAAGCTTCAACGACTTCAACTGGACAACCTGCACAAGGAGCAAGAAACATAGTCAACTGCATGGTAAAGATAAACGACTCTTGCACAACAGAGTCACCACCCCATTACTCACCAGAAGAGGAGCTCGACAACAGGACGCCTCGCCGCGAATCACTCCACCCGAATCCGACTTACGCCGCCATCGCTCAAAGTGAACCGTCCGGCCAAGACGCTTGGTTCTTGGACAGTTGCTGCGGGCAACACATGTGCTCGTCCGGGCGCTTCGTACAACGCGAACATCGACTCCAACGAGAAGTGATCATCACGGTCGCCAACAATCAAAACCTGCGCACACGACGACAAGGAGTGGTACAACTTCAGTCAAGAGAAACAAATGTCATACTGCACATGTCTAAGGTACTCATTGCTGAAGGACTCGGTTACAACTTACTGAGTGTTAGCCAGCTGATGGCGAAGGGGATTCACCTGGAAGCCGACAGCACCACCCAGGAGTTCAAGCTATACCACGGGAGAGGCGGTCTCTACATCGGGAAGGCAGTGCTGAAGAACAACGTCTTCGTCCTCGACTTCGTTCCTGACCTGGGCACTGCAGACAGCGACGCCATCGTGAATTTTACTGATTGGACACACCCTCCTGATCTCGACCCCGACTTCAGCCCGGGAGGTTTCTGGTACTCCCACACTATCCCTGAAGCAGAACGAACAAGAGCGTTAGCGACGATTCAACAAACATCAGAAGCAGAGACAACATCGGCAGCAGCAACACCATCGGTAGCAGCAACATCGGCAGCAGAGACAACATCAGCAGCAGCAGGAACAACGACACCGGTCGCAGTCGACGAAGCACCACCAACACCCGCGCAACAGCTGAATCCGACTCAACGTGAAGTCCACCGAAACGCCAACTTCGTCGCCAGTTTTTACTCCAACTCCGACGCATACCAACGTTCACCCGGACACCGCGCTGTCAGATTACTATAGCTTATGCATGTTGTAGGCTGTAGTGGGGTAGCACATAAGGGGTACAACCCAATTAGGGTTGGTACTTGTACTGTTTTCATTTCATAGTTCATCATTCCTGTTCATTCAGTTTCACATGGTATAGAGCGGGTCCCTCTTAAGGACCGTTTTTTTTTTTGGCCCACCCACGATTTTTTTTTCTGCCCGGAGCGCGCCCTATTCTCCCCGAGGCGCACTCCCCCCTAGTGCGTGTCGCGCTGCCCTTGTGGCGCCCCGAGAGTCGCGCGCGCGACTCCTTTTTTTTTCGCGCGCGCGGCCCGGGTCCCACGTCGCGCAGGCCTTACGGCCGCGCCGCACCGCCCTCTCGGCTCTGCCGCGCCGCGCCGCCCTCACGTCGGCCGCGCGGCCTCCTCGTCGCTGCAGCCGGCCCCGCCGCTGCACCTCTGTCGGCCCCCCCGCTGCACCCTACCGGCCTCGCCGCCGCATCTGCCGGCCCGGCCGCCTCACCTAACGGCCTCGCCGCCGTGCCTGCCGGCCCGCCGCCTCACCTGACGGCCCGCTGCCTCACCTGACGGCCTGCCGCCTCACCTGCCGGCCCGCCGCATCACCTGACGGCCCGCCGCCTCGCCTGCTGGCCCACCACCTCACCTGACGGCCCCGCCGCCTCACCTGGCGG